CAAACTTTTGATTTAGCAAAGCACATCACTTTCCTCATGCAGACACTGACTCTACTGGAACAGACTTCTGCTTTTTTATTCTCTCTCTCTCCCTCTCAGTCATTTGTCACTTATTTTCATTGACGTCCCACCAGTCTGTTTCCCCACCACTTCATCTTCCTCATTGTATCCCTTTTTCCACTCTCATCTGTAGTCATTTTCTCCTCATCCGTCACCCACTCCCTTTGTTTCTTGTCACTTCCTGCCCCATCCACTCGTGTGTGTGTGTGTGTGTGTGTGTGTGTGTGTGTGTGTGATCTCCTCCTGCTGTCTGCTCCACACATAGTCCAAGACGTTCAGCTCTGATCAAGCCATCATGGCAGATGCTTAATTGTGTCTGCCAGGTTTGTGATGTGCTGACAGTCCCACAATCCCCTGGCACTCGCGCTCATATAGGGCGCTGGTCTTTGTCAGGCGGGATGATGCGTTTCCTGGCATTAAGCTCTGAAATGTCAGCAAGACAGACAGGAAGTAAATAGAAGGGGACTAGTTTCTAAGTGCAGACTCCAAGCTTTCAAGTTTATTTGTTAAATGACTTGCTTAGAATGGTGCCTCAAGACACAAAGTCTGTTTTGATCATTCTGTGTTACTTTGCCTGATGGAGATTTTATTTTCTGGGCCTGCTGGTAATAAAACATTATGGGCCCTATCTTGGACTCGGCGCAAATGACTTTGTACACTGACGCATGTATCATTCCTTGTTTGCACCCGCGCAAAGCGGACTTTTCCCTCCACAGACGAACGTCGGTTAACTAAGAAATACAGTTGCGCTCCCCGGGGCGGTTCAGCGCAAAGAGGAGGCGTGTTCCGGCGCAAACTTTCCCTCATGCTATTTTGCTGTTCTATAAAACAATTGCGCCACTGACCAGAAAAAAACCAGTCTAAAGTCAGTGGCGCGTTGCGCGTTGTTCATTATGCTATTTTAAGGGCGCATGCTTGACCATAATCAATGTAGCGTGTGCACAACGCGCATACACGTTGATTCTCTCATCTAAGCAGCAGTTTTCATTTTTGCAAATCATACATTATTACGATAGATTAGATAGATAGATAGATAGATAGATAGATAGATAGATAGATAGATAGATAGATAGATAGATAGATAGATAGATAGATAGATAGATAGATAGATAGATAGATAGATAGACAATTTATTATAAAAGCATGTAGCTCACACATTTACCCAAATTATCATACGCCTGTTTAACAGAAGTTAATTTGGGTGGGTTTCTCCATCCCCAATGTCACTTCTCTGTGTTTTACGGCCCTGACGAGAACGTTGCTCTCCTCGGCTGTGAACCGCTCCTGGCGCGCGCCTGGCAAATCCGCCGTTATAATAGGAATCCGCTTTAGAACAAGCGCGCCTGCTCTTAAAGGGAATGTGAGATGACGCTCTGATTGGTTTATTTCCCGTTACGCCCAAACCACACCTATGAATAATGAAGCTACTTCAGACCAACCCCTTTTAGATTTGCGCCAGGCGCAAGAGGCATTTATCCCGCCGGGAAAATAGCAACAGCGCCGGGATCCGCCCACAAAGTTACTTGCGCTTTACGCTTTGACACTTGCGTTTCAGATCGTTAAAATAGGACCCCATGTGTGGTTTCAATACATGTCTCCTACAGGCAGTGGTTTAAAGTGGGATTTGGCCGGTGGGGGAACCCTCACATTTTGTGTAGGTGCAACAGGGGAAAATGGCTCACCGTGGGACAACATATTGAGTATCGTGGTATATACTCAATGGCAATACTAATCGTGGCAATACTTTTTGGTATAATTATCATCCACAGCCCCACCCACAGACATGTGCATTCAAATATGAGGAATTTAGGGGGGTTCGGGGGCATGCTGCCCCGAGACATTTTTGATTTCTCTGACCTACAAATGTGCAATTTAAGACGTTTGAAGGCCCAAAAAATTGATAATAAATAGCTTTAAAACCATCATTGGGCATTATATTATTTTGTCATTACCTGCTCTCTCCTCATCTACATCTTTCTTTTTCTCTCAGTCTCCTTATCCTGGCCTATTTCTTCCCCTCCTAAAGCTGAACTTTGACTGATGGTCTTTTCATTTTCGTCTCAGTGAAGAAAGTAAACATGGGCTTGATATTTATATGTTTTATGAATCATTGTCTTAAACAAGTGAATTTACTCAAGGCTACCAGGTCAGTATTGCCGATAGGAACCTTCTACAAGCTTTGGAATTTGAAAAGTAATTTTAAATAATACAAATTATAGGCTACGTTTAACGCAGTTGGTGGAATTGGCAGACGTTCCCTCATCATGCTCTGTGCAAACACGTCAAAGCATTCTCAGGTATAAATATGCAGCATTAATGCACGTAAGTGATTTTGAACAAACATTTCATGTCGATATACAATGGTTACATGATGTTAAAACTAATCCTGCTATTGATATCTTTGTAAGACCCGAACAGTGGCTAGGGAAAACAAATGTCAGGCGAAATATCGAACCTAAAACTAACTTTACCGCGCTCAACCACCGTGAGTGCATTTCACGCATTTGTAACCGCTCGCGTTCAGCGGGGAGGAAGGGAGGTTGGTTGGTCGGTCGGCCCAGCTCGGGCCAGCGAGATTCGTCGAGATTAATGAATCTATTCATTTATTTATTTATCTCAGGTGCCGGTGTTGTGCCGAATTTCGACCCCCGCCAAATTATTACCCCTAGCATTGGTAGGTTTAGGATTAGTTGTGGGGGAGGGGTTAGGATTAGGGGCGGGGTTGGGATTAGGCAATCAGGTACTGACTTCACCGAGGGGGGTAATAATTTGGCAGGGGGTCGAAATTAGGCCTCATTAATACCTCATATTCCGGCCCACTTTAACCCCTGCCTACAGGGTTAGATCAGCCCAAAATGAAAATTCTGTCAGTAATTACTCACGCTCATGTCGTTCCAACCCCGTAAGACTTTCGTTCATCTTCGGGACACAAATTAAGATATTTTTGATTAAATCTGAGAGCTGGATCACTGCTACATAGGCTTCTTAAGGGATCGAAACTGACCGGCCCAAAAGTTATTAAAGACATCGTTAAAATAGTCCGAGTGACTACAGTGGCTCGATCTTAAGTTTATCAAGCGACGAGAATACTTTTTGTGTGCAAAAAAACAAACAAAAATAACGACTTTATTCAATTTCCTTCCCTGTGGGCCCGAGATTTATAGTGAAACTACGCATCGCTTCTGGTTGTACGTCACACGCATCACACACATGACCAGCGTCGACCAATCGTGAGCCTACGTGTGACGTGCAACACAGAAGCTTAGCGCAGTTCCACTACGTGAAATCTTGGGGAAAAAAACGATACCATTGGAATCACTTTCAGAACGATTTTTTTCCAGCTGATGAATAACAAAACATTGACAGCCAATCCCAATCCATCCTGCTCTTTAAAGCTACTTAATTACTAAACTAAATTCTAAATTTTTTTCCTTGTTTGAGAAGGTTTCACTCGGATATACAGTTCATCACAATAGAAAACTGTTTCATGCTGACTTTAAACCCCAAAAATATAGCTTTTGAAAAAGTGTTAAAAATCACTGAAGTTACTGTCATCTCTAGCTCGCCTACGTGCATCACTATGATGAATTAGGCAATATTTTAATCTCCTTCTGTTTGACATTTAATTGGCATTTAACACTGCAGAATAATTCTCAGTGCAATTCAATAAAAGTGTAAAAGAGGGTTGTTTAATTAGACCAACACTGTTTCCATTTCATTACCATCTATCACAGCATCATTTTCTTTTGCAAGCAGTGCAGGTTTGCACCTCTTTTCCTCTTTTCCTCTTTCATCTTCTCCAGCTCGCAGCACACACACACGTCACACTCTCACTGGATTCTCATTAAACAGCGCTATACAGCAAGACGCGCTCACTTGTGTGTAGCTCACCGTCCTTGTGTTCCTCTATTAGGGGACTGTCCACACACTCTTGGGGAAAGTTGTTTGATGTGTTCGTTTTAAGAGCCACTTTGAGATGTTTGATTCTTATTCAGAGGTGATTCTTTAGAACCGGGTGAAGAGCGTTTGAAGAAATAGTCATTAGATTAATGCAAACTTATGTTTTATTGCAGAGTTTTTGAATCAAAACCTCTCTTCTAAACCACTTTTATGATGAGATTTCACACTGACGGCAAATTTGTTATTTCTGCGAAAACATATTTATTTGCATATTTGTAAGCTTAATAATGTTAATTGGTCAAGCGCTTGATCACATGAAAAGCACAGATGTTTTATAACTGCTTGTCCATTTGTGGGAATGTCTCATCACTCCAGCGTATCAAATACAGAATGTTAGTACGGTTCCCCTTTGGTTATTTCTTTGGAAACCAATTCCTAATGCATTCCAGAATGTTGCAGGAAGGTGTGTGTGTGTGTGTTAAGTGTAGGTTAAAAAGCCTGTAAGATGCAGGTAAAATTGATAGTCTGTATGCCATTATTGAAATGATCAGGCTTTTTTCCGCTGACTCCAAATGTGTGGCGATAAAGATTGTTCTGTTCAAGTTTTGTGCATCTGAAAGGTGTTTGATGTTGCGCTCCATATGTTTTTATTGTTATTTATTATTTCACAGATCATATGAATTTGAAAGAAACATTACTGAGATGTTCTGTCGTTCTAGTTTCTGTTTGCAGTTTAAGAGTTGGACACATAAAGAAGTCTCTTGTGTCAAAAATATACTTTGATAGTCCTCCAGCCAAAAGGATCAAAGACTAAATGGGAAAAAAAATTATCATGCAAATTAGTTGTACCAGCATTCTTTAAACTTGTATTTCAAATCAATCCTCACATGAATCATTAATGTAAATATTTACTCTCTCTCTCTCTCTCTCTCTCTCTCTCTCTCTCTCTCTCTCTCTCTCTCTCTCTCTCTCTCTCTCTCTCTCTCTCTCTCTCTCTCTCTCTCTCTCTCTCTCTCTCTCTCTCTCTCTTTCTCTCTCAGATGGTGGCATTGGAGAGGCAGGTGTTTGATTTCTTGGGCTATCAGTGGGCTCCTATCCTTGCTAACTTCTTCCACATCCTGGTTGTCATCCTGGGCTTGTTTGGCACCATTCAGTACAGACCTCGCTACATAGTGGTGGTAAGTGCTGCTTTTAATTAGTCATAACTAAGTAAATCTCACAAAAACTCTTCGGGTCACATTTTATCACCAAAATTTGACTGTGATACAAATAAAAGAAATTGCCATAAATAAAAACTAAAAACTAACACACATACACACACACAAATACATTTAATATTAGTTTAATTTTTAGTAATTTTATGTGCTTTTTTTAATGTGATTTTTATTTTTTATTTCAGTTTTACTTTTATTTATTATTTATTTCAAGTTAACAGTTTTAGTGCTTCAGCTTAAATATATTTTAGTTTATTGCCATTCAACATTTCTCATTTTTGTTTAGTTTAGGTTTTTCAACCAATATTTATATTTTATTTTATTTCAGCTTTATTTCAATTAATAGAAATGTTTTTAACAGTTTTAATTAACGACAATAGCCCTAATGTAAATGTTTTTATGACACGCCTCCGTGGAATACTTGATTCTGATTGGTCAATCGCGCCATCCAGCGTTATGTTATTCCCCCGATAACAACCAGTAAAAACTGATAGCACAGGCTCATCCGGATTATTGAAGTCGCTTGCTAGGAACGTTTTTTCTTCGTGGAAGTTTTGCGTTTGGTGAGCTAATAAAACATTAAAACTCAAAGCAGTATTTTGTGTACAGTTTCTTAATTATGTCAACCGGGTATCGCGGACTTGCTTTCTCTTGTTTCATACAAACGCAGCTGCTGCAATTTTCAACGATTGCTATAAGATCATAAGATAACAAACAGCTTAGACAAAATCTTACAAAGTCCCTTTAAGACAAGTCATTTCACTCGGCGGCCATCTTTGAAACGCTTCTCAGGCATGCAAGTGCAGCTCCTATCTTTTTGAATAGGGAAACATCAAATTCTCCAAAACTGTTTGCCAAGCTTACGATAAAATGTCATATTTCAAATCACCAATGAAATCTGACAAATGCGTCTGACTGTTTCTATAGGAACCAGAGCTTCTAACGGCAGCTGCAGTGATGCGATGACCAATCAGCGATTGGCTCTTATTCAGAAGGCGGGATTATTGAGAGTTGCACTTTTCCCCATTCAAAACAATACGACGCGAGTGACGGTGTCTTGTGCAATTCTATAGTCTTTGGTTTAAAATAGTTTATCTCATTTCAATATCTCTTATCCCCAGAGTTATTTATGTGGTGAAATGCCATCCAATAAGTGGTATGACTGTACCGTATCTCTTAAATGTCCGTCTAGTTTGAACTTGCCACTTGCTACGGCTTTCTCCGCGGAAGCTTTGCGTTTAAAGAGCTAATAAAATATTTCGTCTCAGATCAATATTTCTTGTCTAATTATTTACTTATGTGGCAAGAGCTGTGTAATAAGCGGGATAATGTATCCAGGTGGTTGTTATCTCAGATTAAATCCCTTCAGGGTGATGCAAGATGATGGTGATGTACTGTACATTTATCCCTTACATATTCCATCAAGAGAATAGGAATTGTCATGAAATGCACACACACACGCGCGCGCGCAAAAAATCTTAGTGGTCCAAAAACTAGGCTTCATTTTCATCAAATTATTATTTAATATTGTTCTTGTTCTTGACCGGTTTTGTGAGATTCCCCAAACCATGCTAAAAATCAGTTTAATAAAAGGTGTCAGTTCAGATCTGTTCCTTTATGACAGACAGTTTTAGACATGCTTATATGCACATAATGTGTGCGGCACATGCAAATCTGCTTACTGTTGACCAAAGACAGCAGGCTTCGGCTGATAATGGACTCCCCGCAGACCCTGGACTGGCCTTATACTTTGACACATTGTATGGCATTTTAATCCCCTAAATCTGCAACTAATTACCATGAATTAAATGATTAGAGTCCAGTTCCCTTCAGTTCCTCGCTGGGTCAATCCATGATGCAGCTTCACTTCAAGTTCAACAGGATTATCAAGCCTTTGGTTTAGCTGATGAGACGGGAATCAAGCTATTTTAGGAATTTTAATATTCAGTTCTTTATTTTAATAAACAGTTCTTTAATCATCAATAGCCTTTAGTTTACATATAAACCATGGCTTTGTTGGAAATAGCATAATATACCAATTCTTATTATGGCTGCATTCATTTAGATTATAATTTGTTTCTGAATATAGTATAGTTTACAAAGTATACACATTTTCTGTGTGACCTGCTAAATTTGCCAAAATGTGTATATTATATGGAAGAATGTATTCCACAATAAAATGTTCTTCCATTTTTAGCGTGAAAAATGACCTACAAGTGATATCTATGGAAGCTTGCTTCCGCCACTGAATAAAAAATAAATAAATAATAATTGCGACTTTTTTATCTCACAATTGCGAGATATGAAGTCAGAATTGTGAGAAATAGTCGCAAATCTGAGAAAGTCGCAATTGCGAGATATAAAGTCGCAATTCTGAGAAATTAAGTCGCAATTGCGAGAAAAAAAGACAGAATTGCGACTTTTTATCTCACAATTCTGACTTTTTTTCTCACAATTGCGAGTTTACGTCTCGCAATTCTGACTTTATAACACATAATTGTGAGTTAATGTCTCAAATTCTGACATCTTTTCTCAGAATTGTGAGATATAAACTCGCAATTGCGAGTTATCAGGCCAATTCTAAGGGAAAAAAAGACTGACTTTACAACATGCAATTTCGACTTTATATCACGCAATTCTGACTTTATAACACGCAATTTCGACTTTATATCATGCAATTCTGACTTTATAACACACAATTGTGACTTTATATCATGCAATTCTGACTTGCCCTGCAATTGCGATTTATATCACGCAATTCTGAGAAAAAAGTCAGAATTGTGAGATAAAAAGTCGAAATTACCTTTTTTATTTTTCATTCTGTGGCGGAAACAAGCTTCCATAGATATCAGCCAAAATTGAATAAATAAAGTAAAAACCTCCAAAATGGTATCTAGATGTAAGAAACTTGAATTCATGTGACAGCCAATTACTATTGTTTGAAACATTTATCATAGCAAAATGCATTCTTTTTCATTTACTGTTAAAATGTACATTGTATTTTGCTCAGTATGCACTAAATACATTTCTTTAGTGTGTAATGTTGCTGTTTGAGCTGGAAAGAGTTCTGCAAAGTCACTCCAATAAAAAATGAGGTTATGGTGAAGAGCAGTTGACCAATCACAACAAACTGGTCCAGCTGACCAATCAGAGCACAGACAGTGCACTTTTCAGAAGGAGGGGCTTCATAGAGACAGGAACTAAACAGAGTGTTACTGACAGACCGGGAAGAGAGGTGCTGCAACAATGGAGAATATGTGAAAAAGAATGTGTTTTTAAACATTCAAGCTTGAAAACCTATTCTAGTAGAGCCCGAAAAAACACATTTAAAGGTATGCATTTTTTTGGCAGACGCTTTTCTCCAAAGACGCTTGTATTGCATTCAAGGCACACATTTGATCAGTTTTTGCCTTTTCTGGGAATCAAATCCATGACCTTTATGTTGCTAACGCCATGCTTTACAATTTGAGCTGCAGGAACAGCCTCAAAACACTTCATTATGTGGCTTGTCATCCATTTTCAAGACATTCTTCACATAAACGTAAATTATAGCAAAATCTTAATAAGTAATTATTTTCCATTTAACTTTATAAATAATGCACTTAACAACACTGAGTTGCTCTTATACATTTGATTGCACTAGTAAAATGTGATGATGATGATTTAATTTCGAGCACAAAATTCTCACATGGAAGAAATGTCAAGTTAACCAAAGTCATGTTGAAAAAAGTCGAGAAGCCACGAATAGAACAAAGCATTGAAAGTGTTGAAGACAGAAATGATAGACGAGCCTGGAAGCAAGACTTGCGGTTCTGAGACTCCTGGGAATGGTGAGGAGTATTGCTCAGGCTTGTGTCCGTGCCATGTGTTATAGAGACTCATTCTGCTTCACAACAGGGTAGAATTACACTAGTCACTGTATAATAGTGATCTGACATGTGAATCATGCTGTCTGAGGTGTATTGTTTCCCTTCAAGACATTCGTCTTCTGAGAGACAGATGTCTCAGTCTTGCTGACCTGTTTATCTTTCTTTCTGAGTCATGAATAGATATAGTATCCTGTCAAACAAGATAATCAGAGTTAAAGTGCCCCTATTATGGATTTTACAAAATGACCTTTCATGTAAACATCCTGCAAAGTTTTAAATCTCAAAGTGATATATAAAGTTATTGTCTTTCAAAAGTAAGAGTCGACTCTGAATCTCTGATGACTCAATAGGTTCACCTTTATTGGCAATGGCTGATACACAATGATGGTGTATCATAGAGGCTCTGTGATGGTAATACCATGGTACTTTGATCTATACTATGGTACTGAACAATATTGTCGTGCTGAAAAATATACTTACACCATTACATACCTTGGGTCACTAGCGACCCTATACACTTAAATATTAATTAGAAAACAGACATATACTTTTATATTTGTATTTTCTTATTATGAATAGATTGAGGAATACTGAATAGGTTGATGTCTAACTAAAAAATGAATGAGGGGGAGGATAGTGAATGACGTCCCGTGTCAATTAAGACTCGAGGTATGTGTTTGAGGGTTAATTGACTCATCCCTCCGTCAAAATTAAGAGCATTTATACAGTAACATGTTTACAGTGTAAGTTGACGAGGCAATTGAACCTGAGCGTTTACGAGCAGAAATTTGAAGCTCATATTGTTGTTTAAGCACTTGCATAAATGATGTTGTTAAATTGTTTATTATTTGACTGTTAGGTTAGCTAAGTTGAGGTGGGACTGTTTTTCTCTGTGGGTGGATGAATCTTTAGTAATGTTATGGCGAATGTAATGTAATGTTATTCTTTAATAAGTGGATGGCATTGGCTCCATATAAAGTTTTGCAAGTTTGCTCTATTTTACACTTTGTAAGAAGCTCAGTTATCCACAATGGAAAAAAGCCTCAGACAAACTGTTCCTCTGATCTTTGTATATCAGTGGAGGAATTCCCAGTGGAGGGCGTTTTGAAAAATATCTCTTTTGCAGTTTGGTGAAAATGTTTCTATAAAGCAGTCTCAAGCTGGTCTTCCGTAAAGGGACTGACAGGAAACCTGAGATCCATTTTTACACTTGTGCAGCAATACATTTCTACCAGAAAGACTCGGGAGATAAGATACTGTACAATGATGCATTTTATTAACAGCCCAGCAAGCCATATATGCAATAAAGTTCTTTGGCGTAGGCCCCGTCCATAGCTCGCAATCCGAGGGTCCGGACTCTGCATTTCCTGCCTGAAGACGAAGGCAGGGGCGCAGCCGACCCCCTGGGAGGTATAGGAAGGGACCATCCTGGTGGTGGTGGGGAGGTTGGAAGGGAAGGAACCATCTTGGAGGTGGTGGGGAGGATGGAGGTCAATGGAAGCGTCAGCATCTGCGAACTCAAACAGGTGTAAGTACCGGTCTTTTATACCGTAAGTATTAGACGCGATTGGATAGATGAGAAGGTAATACATGACGTAACAATTGAGTCTTCCTGGCGGAACTTACGCTACGCTTTCATTTCTGTATTCCCCATGAGTGCTATCTGCTTCGTTACATTAACACAAATGTTTCTTTTTCTCTTTCTGAGAGTTTATGTACAAGCAGCACTGATTCAGATTAACATTTCAATGGGATTTATAGGCTTGTAAAATCCTAATTGATTGTGTTTGTGTGTGGTAAACAAAAGTACAAACGACCAGGAAGACACCAGGCTTGGTGTTCAAATGAGATGTACTGCTATAAAAGAAGAACAAAGAAAGATACAAATCTGGGGTTAAAAGATAAGAGCCTGTTTAAAAGAAGGGCGTTAAGTCCAAACACACTCACTGCGGATGTTTTCAAGCATCTACTTGTTTCCCGTATACTCTGAGAAAACAGCTCTGGTGTTACTTACTGGTACTGGAACAGGTTAAGTTTGAAGATAGAGAATTGCCAGTTATCCCTTACATAAGAGTACTCGTATGTGATGGTACATAGGCTCAGTGATGGTAATACCATGGTACTTTGATCTATACTGAATCATTTTATTGATATAATGTGATGTAACATGGAAATTGTCAGCATTTACTCCTCTGTGGAACATAAATATATACTATTTTTATACTATGAAAGTCAATGGGGTCCAATGTTATTTTAGAGCTTTTTCATTGTATTGACAAAAAAAGTTCACTAAAATATATTTTATTCTCTGCAGAAAAAAAGAAAGTTATACAAGTTTGTAATTGCATGAGTAAATGATGAATTTTTTTTTTGTGAACTATCCCTTTAAAACTGTATTTTATGTATCACAACAAATATACCACTGTTAAAAAACTTTGAATAATTAAGCAATATAAACAATAATTTGGAATAAAATATTTTAAAAAAGTATCTTATGTTCATCAAGGCTGCATTTATTTGATCAAAAACACACTAAAATAATAATATTGTGAAATATTATTACAATTTAAAATGGTTTTCTATTGTAATATATTTTAAAATGTAATTTATTCCTGTGATCAAAGCTGAATTTTCTCCAGACTTCAGAGATGCTTTTCTTATTATTATCAATGTTGAAAACGGTTGTGCTGCTTAATATTTTTGTGGAAACATTAACAATGATACACTACTATTTCAAATAAATGCTGTTCTTTTAAACTTTCTATTCACCAAAGAATCCTGAAATTCTGTGTTTTGAGTGCGTTGTGTTGAATGAGTTGAGTGATGTATTGTCCATCTTTTTGGCAGTATACGGTGTGGACAGCAGTGTGGGTGGCCTGGAACGTCTTTATCATCTGCTTCTACCTGGAGGTTGGAGGTCTGTCGAAGGTAAGTTACACATGGGTCAGCTCGCTCGTCTGAAGTATAAAATCATTGGTCACCCGTAAGCCAATCACATACCGTTTGGTTATGACGTGTGTTATGCGCCAGCTCAGCAGCATCGAACTGCCACTGTAAACACATTATAATGCGAAAACGAAACCATCGAGAGAAATACCGGAGTGAACATGGCTGTCAACGACTTTTGTAGATTATGTGATGTAAATCTACGCATCCACGGCACAATCGGGGCCTCTAAACTATTATTTGAGAGTAAAGAGAAACAGGAAAATATTTGCAGCCAACTGTCAAAGTTGATTAGTTCTGTCAAACACAGCTCTTTGTTCATTTCGAGTCTGTCGGAAATGCTGCAACTTAATTGCAAGATTACAGCATGACATGGCAATATTTACGAACTGGAAAAAAAGGAGACACTGACCTGTCAAAAGGGTGCCAGTTCGAGCTCGACAGATAAAAGAGACGGGAAAACCTGTCGGGAGTAGGGCCACAACATCACCTCCATTCAAAATGTTTAACAAACACTCTTCTTGTTCGGGCTTCAGTTTGCAAATGCCGGCATTATTCTCACAACAGAGTGAATTGCATCCCGTGTCTCCATATCCACGGTCGTTTTTTCGATTTCCCTAACCTAAAATACAGTCTTAAACTCTGCGCTTAGCGCCTACGTCACGGCTCTCAGCCCGCCCTCTGTTCGTTGATTGGCCGAATGTTTTCAGGCCTGAGGAAAACTGAGAGACATGTCGATGTCTCAGACTTATGCTGCGTTCCAGGCAGGTTTTTGAGCACGTAAATCACAACTTCAAACCACGACTCACGGCTTTGTAGCGTTCCAGGCCAGTCACGCCAAACTACCTGAGCGCAATATACATACTTATTGTTTCAGACACATAACATTGTAATACATAATCGTGTGTATTATTATTATCATTATTATTAATATGACTGCAGCGTTATATTGTCCTAAAGTGTATTCTCACCGTGTACCGCCTGCAGAAACACTGCATCCGGGGCTGCCATTGTTGTTTTGTATGGTTTGATTGGTTTCACGGGCTATGTGACGTCAGAGCTCGTAACTGGGAGTACATCGATCTAGTACGAGTTCACGGGTGGGAAGTCACGGGTTTGACTGCCGTTCCAGTGCACTTTCACGGGTTACAGGTTGGAAAAACACGGGTTACAGGTTGGAAAAACACGGGTTACAGGTTGGAAAAACACGGGTTACAGGTTGCCTGGAACACGGCATAAGTACAGAAGCTAAATGAAATTAAGCGGAAGTACGAAGTCTGACGTAGTCAGGCTAATTTTAATGACCCTGTTTTACAGATAAATGGCACCATTTAGGATGTTTAACTAGCTGTACTTGTACCAAAACCTTTGTGTCTTTGGTTGCCAAGTGTCTTAGGTTTGTGAGAGTAACGCATCTCAGATGCATTCTGTGTGAACTAGCCTATTAAGTGTCTTGAAATCAGATGAGAGCCTTTTGGAAAAGCGATAGCAGAGAGCCGTTGTGTGTTATCCCTTCCCTAACCCATCCCATACACTTCTCTCTACATGTGCTGACAGGTCATGGACATAAACACTCAGCCCCAAGTGTCTAAGAAGTGAGAAACAAGCTCGCTGTATAATTTACACATTCTACTCTCGGTGTGTGTGTGTGTGTATGTGCTTGTTTTTGACTCCTGCTTGGCCCAGTTTTCTGGCCTCAGATTTCTTGTTCCCACAACTAAAGGCACTTATCCTCTTTCAGAAGTTGTAGTGAGACTGGATGAGAACATCTTAAAGTCTCATAGATGCATGCTGAGTAAATCTGGTACATGTGTAATGAGCTGCTGTTATATCAGAATTCAACTCTTTTTCACTGTTGTCACAGTTGCATGGGGCGAAATGGCGCAGATTATCCCAGGATAAAGGGAATAATTGGCCAAAAAACTGATGCCTGGGTCATACTTATTGGAATCTGTTTGGTTTGTTCATTGCTCATAAGAAAGAGGGCTGTTTAATTGGACTCTTAACAACAAAAGAAATTGGAAGCGTATACTCTTACAATTCATCCCACCTTCGTTTTAGTTTTTCCTTTCATCCTCGTCTTCTTCTCCCTCTGTCGCACACAGTCACGCTCCGTCACTCCCTCCCTTTTTTTCCTGTGCTGTCACAGGTGGGACGTCCTTCTCCCAACCCCCCCCCCCCCCCCCCCAACCTCTGTAAAGTCAGATTACATGAATATTCATGAGCTGTTGCAGACAAATCTGCTATCCAGAAAGCAGCGAGTAGAAGCGCATTGATCCTTTCTTTTCTGTCTGTGTGTGTTTATATATGTGTGTGTGTGTTTTCTCCATTATCCGCTTGTCCTCCTGCTGTCCATATGTAGCAACGAGGGAGCGCTGTGTGTCCATCTGTTGGGTTAATGTCTGAGCCCGGCCCTCTGCCACCTGCTCCCCGTAACACCCCATTATTCAGCCCGTTTCATTAACATGGCCCACCACAACGCCTCGAAATATGACTGTCCCACTGCTGTCTGTACTGTCATACAGAGAATGATACACAATATGATAATATCATCCTGCTTTGAGGACCCCCTATTGTTAGATTGATTACAACTGGACCGTGAGGAGAAGACTAGCAAACAGTGTGACATTACAGTAGATTCTGTCTGCTTGTTTTTCTGTCTGTCTCTCAATTCATTTATCTGTCTGTCTGTCTGTCTGTCTCACAGTGTTTATCATATCTGTCTGTCTCTCACACACAATATACCAGTCTGTCTGTCTGTCTGTCTGTATCTATCTCTCTCGCTCTCTCACACACACACACACACACACACACACACACACACACACACACACACACACACACACACACGCACACGCACACACACACTCACACAATACCAGTCTTTCTGTCTCACAATGTTTATCATATCTGTGTCTCACAATGTGTTTATCTGAATGACACACAGCTACGATCAGGGTTCGCACAGATTTTCAAGAGTGAAATTCAAGCACTTTTCCAGTACTATCAAGCAGTGGCAGTCAGTGCTTTTCAAAGGTGTTTGTAATAAAATATAACAATTATACATTTATTAAATAAAAATGATTATTCATTATTGGCCACATGTTGCAAAGTCCTGCCTAATCAAGAGCTCATTCAGTCATTAAATAAATAGCCTTGGATTCCAGGTATACAAAATACACCGATTGAAATGTTTGAAAAGCATTCAAGCACATTTCAAACCTTGAAAAAAAAAATAACGGTTAAAATCAAGAATTTTCTAAACTTTCAGTACTCTGTATGAATAATGTATGAAATATAGGCAAAAAATAGTGTGAAATGAAGCATTGCCACCGTGCAAATCAAAATGAATGAGTCAAACCGGTTCAAATAATTAAATAAACAACTCAGCCACTCAGACATCGTCACTTTTGGTCAAGTCTCAATCAATACATTTTTTGCGTGGATAAATTATAAAAATGCACGTCCATGCCAGCATCAATACACTGGCACTGTTTAGGAAGGGTTGAATGACTAATGATCCAAAAAAGGTGACTATTAATAATGATACATCATTTCAGAAGACCGCCACACAATGCTTTATCTTAGGCCGGAGACACACTGGCTGCGTGGCGTGAGCGTGGCGTTTCTGTTGCGTGTCAGCAGCGTGGCGGCTGCGTCGCGTTTTCTGTGTCTTTGCACACCAGAAGCGTGTCTGACGCGGCGCTGCGTGGCGTACACGAATACATATTCGCTAAATATGACATAGAGGGAGGGCGCCGACAGACCAGTCTACATTTGGATTACTGTTGCTCTTGCCTTTACGACAACAATTTCAACTTTTATCACGCATCTTCCAAAATCCGAAAAATAGGGAAACATGCGGCTGTCTGTTTATTTCAATAACATTTACAAATTTTGTGTAGCTTTAAAGAGCCTATATTTAGCCTACCTGATGTTGGACCGTCACTCAGAAGACACACTACGATGTTATTGTAGCCTATCCTAACTTTATATCCTCCTGAGGCCCAGAAAGTTATTTTCAAAGAATTTTTTTGATTTTTTTTTTTTCCATGTAATCACATTGTTAAGAGCATTAGAAACAAATTAAAATATATATAGGCTATATTTTATTATATAAATTGTATATTGTATTATATATTTTATTTGCCTAAATTATACAGGCAAAAATAATGGGTTTAAAAAAAAAGACATTTATATCTGAATTTATGTCAAAACCTAGATTTTCAAACATCAAAATGTAATTTATTAATATGTATTCGTGTACAAAATGACATATAAACATCTTTTCCTATACTATTTTGCCTGCAAACGCTTCCAACACGCTTGCGTGTCGCGTGAAAATTAGGCGTCGGTTCTATTTCCAGCATGCACACGTTTTCCGCGCGGCTCATGCCGCGCCTGAGACGCGCGTGTCACGCAGGCAGTGTGCAAGCTCTAACCTGTTAACATGGGAGCCGAAATAAAAACGGACACGCCACGCAGCTGAGACGCTCACGCCACGCAGCCAGTGTGTCTCCGGCCTTAGATCTCTAATATTTCATGAGCAAATCGAGGTGGCTTAGTGATGAAGTATTTTGCCATCATCAACAGCAAAGCTGCATTGATCTACATTAGCTTCGAGTGCTGCCATAGAAACAGAAATTCAGTGAACGCTAACAGAGCGCAGACCACTGAGTTTCAGAGTAACGATCATTCCGACACGACAAAAAATCTGTCACATTCAGATAATGGAGTACCATATTAACTCACTGAACACGAGTCATGTACTTTTGCTGAAGAGGGAAAGCATATTAAGTGGTTGGGACTCTCTCTCTCTCTCTTTCTTTCTCTCTGTCTCATTGATTGAGGTGTTTGTGTGGGGTTGTCCTCTCATGCATGGCTGCAGGCTGTGTCTGTCAGTCTCACACTGTGACTGTGATTAAATACGAGACAGGACGGTCTGTATCGACCCCCCTACACGAACACACACTCTTCTCTATGACATATAGTGACACGTATAATGATAATGCCTACTGATGATAAAGGGGACGAACGCCTCTGTGCCTCCATTAGCCAGAAAGAGGTCAAGGACGAGTTACTCTCTAATAAGCATAGAAAGTCCATAAGTTTTGGGTTTGACAAGTGTCATTCATCTCATGCAGCCTGAGAACTGAGTGGATTGACAGAATCCATTACATCTGAAGCACACGTATCCGTGAGCATATGAGGAGCATTTGCAGTAACATGCAGCGTTCGGGACCACGTGAACAGACACAGACACATCGGTCACTTAATTTGCAGGAACGTGAATTGGGAGTCAAATTGATTTAAATTGATATGTTCTTGAATTGTTACTGAACAAATATTGGTGCAACGTTTTTCCTAAAATTATAGTAGGGCTGGGATGTATAGCTAAAAATATTTTTCACTGATTTTATGAAATTATATAAATTTCTTGATATTTATGTGCTTGTTCTGGAAAATCTTTCAGATCAAAGAAACTGTAATTCTGACCTCATAGCCATTGTAGCCTACTTAGTGCAAAAGTCTTAGGCACATTAGTATTTTAACACACCAAAAAACATTTTTTAGGCCAGTTTATATATATATATTTATATATTTATATATATATATATACACTCACCTAAAGGATTATTAGGAAGACCATACTAATACTGTGTTTGACCCCCTTTCGCCTTCATAACTGCCTTAATTCTATGCGGCATTGATTCAACAAGGTGCTGAAAGCATTCTTTAGAAATGTTGGCCCATATTGATAGGATAGCATCTTGCAGTTGATGGAGATTTGTGGGATGCACATCCAGGGCACGAAGCTCCCGTTCCACCACATCCCAAAGATGCTCTATTGGGTTGAGATCTGGTGACTGTGGAGGCCATTTTAGTACAGTGAACTCATTGTCATGTTCAAGAAACCAATTTGAAATGATTCGAGCTTTGTGACATGGTGCATTATCCTGCTGGAAGTAACCATCAGAGGATGGGTACATGGTGGCCATAAAGGGATGGACATGGTCAGACACAATGCTCAGGTAGGCCGTGGCATTTAAACGATGGCCAATTGGCACTAAGGGGCCTAAAGTGTGCCAAGAAAACATCGCCCACATCATTACACCACCACCACCAGCCTGCACAGTGGTAACAAGGCATGATGGATCCATGTTCTCATTCTGTTTACGCCAAATTCTGACTCTACCATCTGAATGTCTCAACAGAAATCGAGACTCATCAGACCAGGCAACATTTTTCCAGTCTTCAACTGTCCAATTTTGGTGAGCTCTTGCAAATTGTAGCCTCTTTTTCCTATTTGTAGTGGAGATGAGTGGTACCCGGTGGGGTCTTCTGCTGTTGTAGCCCATCCGCCTCAAGGTTGTGCGTGTTGTGGCTTCACAAATGCTTTGCTGCATACCTCGGTTGTAACGAGTGGTTATTTCAGTCAAAGGTGCTCTTCTATCAGCTTGAATCAGTCGGCCCATTCTCCTCTGACCTCTAGCATCAACAAGGCATTTTCGCCCACAGGACTGCCGCATACTGGATGTTTTTCCCTTTTCACACCATTCTTTGTAAACCCTAGAAATGGTTGTGCGTGAAAATCCCAGTAACTGAGCAGATTGTGAAATACCCAGACCGGCCCGTCTGGCACCAACAACCATGCCACGCTCAAAATTGCTTAAATCACCTTTCTTTCCCATTCTGACATTCAGTTTGGAGTTCAGGAGATTGTCTTGACCAGGACCACACCCCTAAATGCATTGAAGCAACTGTCATGTGATTGGTTGATTAGATAATTGCATTAATGAGAAATTGAACAGGTGTTCCTAATAACCCTTTAGGTGAGTGTATATGTATGTGTAAATAAAAGTTTGTGTTTACGTTTGCATAATATATGTGTGTACTCTGTATAATTATTTTGTATATATAAATACACACACATGCATGTATTTTTTTATTCATGTATTAAAAATTTATACACATTATGTTTTGGATGTGATTAATCACGATACAATTAGTTCATGGACATTTGTGTAAGGCATTTTACATATTTTTATACTATAATAATAATATTAATAAATGTATATATAAAAACATTTATTATTATTATTATTATTATTATAGGATAAAAATATGTAAAATGCCTTACACAAATGTCCATGAACTAATTGTTCATCTTATGCACGGCAATAAATGGTTTTAAATACATTTTATAGCTATTAAATTTGAGATTTTTTTTACTGTCATGGTAAATGATAATTGCTAAATAAATGGCATGTTAAAATCATCACAAAATTCACAATGTTGAGTATTTTTTTATTGCCAAAAATACACTGTCGTCTGGCCCTAACTAGTAGTAGACTACTGTATTTTTGCCACAGCTGGAAAAAAGTGATTTCTGGACAAATTATATGAGAGATTTACCAGCACATTGTGATGGTGTGTGTGAATGGTAACAATACATAACCAGAGAAAACAATTGCGGTTGTGCATAACTGATTCATAACAGACTGCATTTTTACCTCGTTTTATTAGGTTTCGTGTTTAAATCTAGTTATAAATATAATCACAGCAAATAAATAATAAATGTGTGTTTCCTTCCTTTTTTTGTATATACGGTATGCTTGCCTTTCCTCCATCTCATGTTTATGGATCAGATTCTTTGTCAGCCCTGTGTTAAATTATGCATGCATGCTTTACAGCGCACACTCCCTCATCGGTTATATTGAGGCTAATGACGACGACTCCCCTCTTTCCTTTCAGGACAGCGACCTCTTGACCTTTAACATCTCGGCACACCACTCCTGGTGGAGCGAGCACGGGCCGGGATGTGTCCGAGGAGAGATCTCCTCCAGCGGAGAGCGGGGTGCGGATACACAGTCCTATATAACCATCATGGGCTGCCTGCTGGAGTACCAGTACATCGAAGTCCTCCACTGCGGCTTCCAGATCCTCACCTCCGTAAGTCGCTCCAAAACACACACACACACAGACACACACACTAATGATATGCCAAGGCATGTAGAAAAGCTAAAACACTCAATAAGCATTCCTTCAATAGCCCAAAAACAAAGTTTTACTATACGGTTTATAAAATGCTCTGCTGTTGTGCTGAAGTGGCCCTCTTGAGTCGAGGTCTGGCACGGCTCCAGGTTTAGTTGGGCAAACTCAGTGGGTTATAATCAGCAGGCAGCAAAACAGAAGGACTGTGAGCGCATTTTCTCAAAGGGATCTGTTTTGTTGACTTAAAGTCCCCCTGTGGTGAAAATCCAGCTTTTAATGTTGTTTATATGTCTATGTGGTGTTTTTAATGTGCTTTAAGACAAACCATGTGCAAATTCACAAGTCAACACCATTGCTGAGTATTTTCTCCTTAAAACTGCAGTGAAACAAAGACAGTCTCAAAAACTCAGTTTGTAACCAATCAGGTCAACGTGTGATCGTCAACGAGGGGATCTCTGAGCTGGTGTGAGTGAGTTGAGGCGGGAATAATTTGCATATTCATAGATCCGCGTATACTAAATGAGACAAGGGTGTAGAGTTACATTACAGCTATTTTAAGGTATGAAGACTTTTTTTTTTTTTGGGAAAAAACGTGTAAATATTTCATTTTGGTGATCAAAGAGGAGTTTTGAGGGATACAATTTTTTACTAAACGGGGGCTTTAAATGTGCTGTGCACAGTTGCATACTGAAGTATATGGATACTTCATAAGCCACACTTATAATGTCTGAATGCACCAACACTGGGACACTTTAAAAAGCTGATTAAGACACATTTATTTAAGGCTGTTTTTCTCTAATTGTTGTATTGCCCTTGTTGTTTCTGTTTATTTTACTGTAGCGCTTTGGGTTTAAGAAAAGTGCATTACAAATAAAATGTATTATTATTATTATTATTATTATTAATGTCATTGCATTAGATATTAGAATTAGATACAAAAATATTCAAATAGAAAATGGTTATTTTAAATAGAAATGTATATTTTTATATTTTTTTTATAATGCATATATTATATATATAAAAAATGTTGTGTGTGCTTTTACTTTCATCATCTTTGTCTCAAAACATGTCACACACAAGCTGTATCTGTTCATTCTTGTTGTGAAATAAAGCCTGCATGTCTGATGGTCTGAAGGGTTGGGAGTGCCGGAAGGTTCTAGAAAGTGATGATTATCCTCTCATGCTCCAACAATGAACTGCTAACTTCATGATGAGAGCTGAACAAAGTGGCCTTCAGGAAGTGGGAGTTGCACACACACACACACACACACACACACACACACACACACACACACACACACACACACGGTTAAAGTTCATACAGGCTTCTTCAGTGGGAGTGCAGAGATTAGTTAGAAAAATAGAGATTTTTATCCCCATTGGCCAAAGTACACAGCTTGTGGTTCCGTAAAAATTGGGAAATTAAGTAAGAAAACGCTCAGAAGAATGGGAAGATGGATTAAGTCAAATTACACCACAAAATCATTGGACCATTGTCAATGCAAACAAACAAAAAACTCACCCACCCACATGTTTGTGGCGGCAGGCGAGACTGGGAGAGAAACATTTGTCCCCTGTGTGAGAAATTCTGTTGCTTGGGATTGTGAGAGCAAACGATAGAGCAAGCGAGACAGAGTTGAGTCAGATACTTCATAAACGTTTCTGTGTGTGTGTGTAACTTCAGAACTGGGTCACTATCAGAAACACTTAGTCATGAATAGTCCTGTTCTTAAGCTTCTGAGAATGTGCAGTCACAAGAGGACCGTCAGAGAGTACGTAGGACACACACCAGAGATGACAGGCGAACGACTGCGAGAGTCATTAGCTCAGCTTCATGTACATCCCTCCCAGCGTCTGTTTTCCCATCGGTGTGACCCGTGAGGGAGGAACCTGTGGAAACTTCAGACGCCACCTGCTGTTCTTCTGTTTTTCAGCCCTCGATGACAATTGTAGCACTATAACTTTGCTCAAAGCAGCTCCTATAACATTTAATTTGACCTATTGAGGTTGACAATCAACATATTTTGATGGTTATTTTGATCTTCTTTTACTGGCCTTTAAATAAACTGCACCACTGTCCTAGTATGCGTGTCAGATTTCACTCGTACTTTGTCCATGTTATCAGCATAAGTGGGTGGATGAGTTCATTCCTCCTCCATCTTGTATCTTTCCTCTCATATCTCAGTTGCTTCTCTCTTCAGTAAAACACTGAAGTCAAGATAAGGCAGCTGTTTCAGACGGAGAAGAATATCTTGTCAGGATGGTATGGGAATTCATCACTTTCTTTCCCATCATGCTCTCTGCCCCAGGGAGAGACGATAGATAGCCGTGGAACATTTTACCCGAAATTTGGACGTTCAAGTCCACACTGAAAATCGATGAAACGTCCAAAAGCTCCATTGGAAAAATATTATAAATATAAATATGTTTAGATATAATGCATTACGGCCCTGATATATTTACCAAAATAATAATAATTTAAAAAGTATGACAAATTCAGCTTGTTTTGCGCCCATCCAGACTGTTGCTGAGTGCGTGCCTGAGAACATGATTAAGACAAATCTCACTTCAAAGTGTCTCGCTCCCTGTGGTGGTTTAATCACTTTCCATGTACACACAAATGTATAAGTGGATTTTGGATTGGACGTGGCCGGCTGCAAACTTCTGAGAGCCGTTAGTTCAGCGTGGTAGGTGGACCATTCTTGCCTGTTGATTTAATCTCAGATGTGCTGTAAGAGTGCTTGCGTGTGCGAGAGCACTTTTGTGAAGTGATGTTGAGAGTGCTCTGATTCTGATGAGATCTGGCTGTGAAATCTGCCTCCAGGCCACTGAGACGCATCAGAACGGCTATAAATGTGTGTGCATACAGTATGTGGAGAGGCGCACACACACTCATTCAGCCGGACTCATTTCTGCAGGGTGACACGGTCGCTCATTAATAACCCGTCAAACGTCATGTTGCTTGTGTGTCAAAGGCAGCATTAGGATTTGTGACGTGTGTCCGTCTTTCAGGCCTGCATATTCACAGGGCTCTGGGTCTGTATTATTGCAGTCTCTTTTATTCTCTTTCTCTCAGCTTCACAGCCAGCTAAATAAGGCAGAAAACAGTATGTGAGTGCAGATAATAAATGGAAGTGTAGTTTTAGGACTGGTGGCGAGAGGACTGCTTTCTTTACCCAACTCTTGGTATCCTTTGTACACTTTAGCATACTTTTACTTCTTTAAAGCATGACAAAAGATTATTAAAACAATTATTTGAAATGTACTTTAGAGTAAAACTTTTAATTTGACATTATTACGAAGTGAACTTTTTAAAAGTGTACTTAAGTGTGTGAACGGTCTTGAAAGTGAACTCTAGTAAATCAATTTTATTTCAATAATATTATCTGCAAGTACAGTTTTTTAAAGATTTGAAGTACAAGTGCACATTCAATTGAATTAAGCACACTTTTTCACAAGGGATCTTTTTATCTTTACAACACTTAATATTCTGCAATTTCATGACAGTGACAGTAAAAAGCTCAAGTAAAAACAAATTTTCTCCTTAAGGAATTTGATTTTTAATGATAACTTGTAAACCTTTAAAGACAGATCTACTGTGAGCTACGACGTTGTTAACCTATGGTATTTGCTTCTGTTGAAGCCGTCAGCCCGCGTTATTTCACTCTAAAAATTGCTGGGTTGTTTCAACCCAAATTTGGGTTAAATATGGACAATACCAAACATTGGGTTAAACATGTTATTGAAAAATGTAACCCTACAGTTGGGTTTGTCCATATTTGGTTGAAACAACCCTGCATTATTTAGAGCGTTTCAGCTTATTTCTTGAAATAATTGTGTTTAACAGTGGAATTCCTGGTGAAAAACTATATTACCCATGATGCTGCACGGACAAATTACACCAATCAGAGAGTCGGAAAAACCAGCGCGCTCCAAAACGTCTCTTTAGCTCCGCCCACTCCCATGAAGAGTCTCTCAACGCTCTCAAAATACTGAAATGTGTGTAGCCTATATGCGCAAATAGCTTAAAATATATCAACACTTGTAAATGAGTAGTTTTATATATTATATTATATTATATTATGGTATTTTCAGTGCTCCATGGGATTGTAGTTCTTTCTCTCACTAAAGCTGTTAAGCACACACTACACAGTCTTGTGTCTTTGTCTTCTTTCCTGTTTACTATAAAGCTGCTATATACATAAAGGTGAACTAGTGATGTTTATCTATTGCACATGCTAAATATCAAACTTTTGTTTGTTCTACAGACATAACATAAAATTACATTTACATTTACAAGACATAGTACATTAAAATCATACGGATAATTGTTTTTTTATGGCATAGAAGTTCTTGCAAGTGTTATCTGTGAAAATGAAACTGAGGCCTGTGATGTGATTTCTTCCTTGTATAGATGTTATATCCAGCATTATTTAGGTGTGTATCACCAGAGCTCATGTTGAGATCATGACAGAACCAGGTCGTGTGCATAGAAGCGGCGTTTGATCCGTCAATCATCAGCTCTCTCTCTCTCTGGGTCTTTCTGCATCACGCAATTAGTTATGAAGTTGTAAATGATTCCCATCCATTGCTATTTATATGGCTCGGGGAGATTCATAACAAGCAACTTCTTGTTAATTAGAGACCATTTATAATCAGTTTCTGGATTCAAATGTATGTTGATATCCTATGAAAGAATTCAAGGTGATATAACCATCCTGTAAAAAAACGAAAATTCTTGCAAAATATCTATAATTATTTCTTAAAAACATTTCTATATACAAATACTACTAAAGCGGTTTTGTGTAAACGTAATAAAAATGCTGAACACATTTTGGTTGTTGGCATCATTTTAAAGAGATGACTTTGCTTTTCTGATTCTGGCTGAATTCCTAAGCTTAAAAATTTGAAACCACGTATATTTTATTTTCCTTTTAAGTTTTAAGCTCAAGGTAAATTCCCCAATGATTACAAAAACAATTTTGAGTTAATTCTATTCATATTAAAGCCATTATGAAGACTAGACTGAGAGATTGAACGTTGAATTATGAGAAACAGCCTGAGGGAGTTGAAGGCCACTGACCCAGAATCCTCTTCTCTCTACAGCAACTTTACCCTTTGACCGGAATGATCAGTTCATGAAACGCAGGACTGACGCTTAATATTACAGAGAGAAAACTGGTTAAATCTGCAGCACTTTCAGCAGAGAGCAGAAAGAAACGGAGTGAAGCAGAGGGTCCTGGCTTTATGACTGTGAGTTTAAAATAGCTAATTGTTTTTAATGACCATAATTAACACGATATTGAGTCGTGCGCTAGATCTGGGCTTAAGAGCGGTCAAGTCTCATGTGGAGAGGCGCTCTTTCTGTCTTTTTCACTCTTCGCCTGAGATTCCCCCGAGCAGGAATTAACTTTGAATTGATTCAATTTGGGTTTCATTTGTCTAATGGTCTCAGAGTAAGTTCTTAAACAAAAGATTTAATATTTATATCTGAATAATAAATAGCCTGTTCTACGGTTAGCGCTGTTCTTGTATGGTACTGATAATGTACTATCAGCCAGTTATTATCACAAAATATATTTAATAAATAAATAAAAAACAGGCTGATCATCAGGACCCCCTGACACAATGCAATACAAATATATTTATAAAAATACAAATACTTTACTGTTTAAAAGTTTAAGGTCAGTAGGAATTTTTTATCACACTTTAGTTTCGGGTCCAATTCTTGCTTTAAACTATAGCATGACTTTTGTCTCTAAACTCCTAATTACTACTTATTAATAGTTATTAATGTGGTTGTTAAGTTACAGTATTGGGAAAGGATTAATGGATGTAGAATATGGTCTTACAGAATAATGCATTAATATGTACTTTATAAGTACTAATAAACAGCCAATAACCTAGTAATGTGCATGCTAATAAGCAAGTTAATAGTGAGAATTGGACCCTATTACCGATTTTTATTGTATAATTTTTTTGGGAAAGAAATGGATGCTTTTATTCAGCAATGATGCATTAAATTGATCAATAGTGATAGTAAAGAAATGTATAATGTCAAAAGACATTTAAGAATATCAAAGCAGCACAACTGTTTTCAACATTGATGATAATAATAAATGTTTCTTGAGCATCAAATCATCATATTATAATGATTTCTGAAGGATCATGTGACACTGAAGACTGGAGTAATGATGCTGAAAATTCAGCTTTGATCACAGGAATAAGTACAATTTTTAAATGCATTACATTAAAAAAACAGTTATTTTGAATTGTAAAAATATTTCACAACAATACTACTATTTATTATTATTTAATTTTCAACGTAGAGTCCTGTTAAGGTCTTATGGGTCTTTTAGTAGCTATCAAGTCTGCTAGCTGCATAACTATGGACTAGAATTAAATAAGATTAACTCCAAGGTAGCTAAATTGTGTAAAGCAGACAAGGTTTTTTAAGATAATCGAGCAGTAATAATTCCTCCGTAAATAATCTAGCTCTGCTGTTGGGTCATCTCTGGTTCTCATTGAAAACCATAGATATCACAAACCTCAAAACACCAACTTTTGTATAGTAAAACTGGCGACGTCCTGGCAAGATCCTTGATTAGTTACTGGGTTTCGTTGCTGAAGAGCGACGTTCTTGTCCGCCAGCCAGTACTTGTGACGTCACGTGCAAAGTATGAATTGAGGTCAAAAATGAATGGCTTAAAACGGCCTCCACACTAGGATCAACTGAAATTAACCCAAGGTCAATACCACTGCAGTTGGCAGACTGGTTGTGGACATTTCCTCAGATGCAATTGGTATTTTGCCACTCCTTCAGTTTAATAGAAGCTGATTGGAGGTCTGAACCACTTTGCCCCGCACAGTCAGACAGAGAGAGAGAGAGAGAGAGAGAGAGAGGGAGAGAGAGAGAGCACAGCACCTGTGTGTCTCTGTGTCTCACCACAAACCCACACCTGCACTATCAGCCTCTCACGGGCTTCATAGACTCTCATTTAAGTTTTTGTCATACGTTTCTCTCACTCTCTCGTTCATATGCAAACACACAGCATTCATGTTTTTCTTCAAGGTACGTGTACGCCTGGCCGTCTGCCCAATGGCGGATTAATTGCTTTGGAATAGTGCCACTCTTTGGGAGTTGAGTTTACCCTGTGTGTGTTTTCATGCAGAGCTGTGCCATCTGCCTCTGTGGCACTGCCATTGCCATCAATAACACACACACACACACCAGTCCCCGGTTCACTTGGCACAGGACTTTGTAAAAATGTCTCTAATGTCTCTTTGAGTAATGTATTATCGGCCATGTGTTTCTCATAATGAATGGTTTATAAGATGTGACTGCCATTCCTGCTGAACACACTTATGCTTTGGGATTTCAATAAACCCTTAACACTATAGCATTCAACTTTGCTATGTAACTATTCCCACACCATTTATGCTATGGAAATGAACGATGCCTCCAAATCATTTACATGTATTAATTTAGTAGATGCTTTTGACAAATAAGGAACATCACAAGTAATTTGAGGAGAGGTGTCATTTCTTTTCATGTTGGACAATATAAACCTGTAGAAACATGATCTCCGCTTTATAGGGTTTGACCCTTTTGACTTATTTCCTTATTCGACCAATAACGTCATGGAGGTTACGCTGACTCAGGCAAACTAATAAAATGTACAAATCTAGTTACAGAATAAAGATATACTGACATCAGTCATCAGGTGAAGACATGGACTGATAGTAAAATGTGAAAAGACAGTTCTGACGTTTTGTGAGCATGATTTTCCACTCTTCTTGCTGTCTGTGTCTCATCTCTCTCTCTGGATATACACTGACGTGTTTGTGTTCGTCTCCTCAGCTGCTGGGTTTCATCTACGCCTGCTACGTCATCAGTGTCATCACAGAGGAGGAGGACAGCTGTGAGTATCTTTACTGTGTGTGTGTGTGTGTGTGATAAGAGAACAAAATATTAGCCTGTCCTACACTTTCTTTCTTGTTTACGTGTTGTCTAAAACAGTTACTTTTTACATTTTATTATAAAGAAATGTGCCTGTCTGATTGTACTATCATAAACATTCAGGAGATGATGGCTCTGTGTCCTTCGAGCTTTGTTTTGTGAGAAATATATCTAAACCATATGAATTATCAATTTTGAACAATATGAAATATTGATGTAAAAAGCCATTTTTTTATTCATGGGAAGGGGAGCACACTACTTGTGAGAAACACTGTATTACTAAACTCACTTTGTAAAATTGTGTGTGTGTGTGTGTGTGACTCACTGACTCATGGGGACTTGAGTCAGGTCCCATGATGGAAACAAGCTTATAAATCATACAGAATTAGTTTTTTTGAAAATGTAAACAACTAAGGGGAGCAGTGTTGTGCCTGAATAGTTCATGAACTCGTTCATATTTTGGGCGAACGTGAACTGAACGGTACTGTATTACTGCCTGATGAACGTTACGGTGACCTTGTTCATTCTGGTGTCTGTGAACGCACGCTCTCTCAGTTTACCCCAGACGGTCCTCGGTCATTTCTGACCGAATCATTTTCTGTTTTGAATTTCTAAAAATCACAGCTTCATCGGAATGTTATGAAACTCGGTGACTTTTATGGCATTAGGTATGTAAATACAAAAAAATTTTGAGGTCATGATCCGAGCATGCTAAGTGGTCGTAAAAAAATAGTAACGATTTTGGTCTTCGGTCAAAAATGACCGACCCATAGGAAATGAATGGGAAATTTACAAAAACACAAAAATTCTCTGAATTTGTCTGTACAATCTACAAATCGGCCACGATTCTAAAAAAAAGTACACCGCAGTAAAGGGGTGACACTCTATAACATCAAGAGTGCAAAAAATTGACACCCACCCACACACACACACATAAAAACACACTTTTATACACATACACACCGATGAATTCAGATTACAAAAAATCTGTTTGAATTTTTAAAAATCACAGCTTCATTGAAATGTTACGAAACTTGGTGACTTTTCTGACATTAGGTATGTGAACACAAAAAAAAATTAGGTACATGATCCGAGCATGCTAAGTGGTCGTAAAAAAATTAGTCACGATTTTGGTCTTCGGTCAAAAATGACCCCCATAGGAAATGAATGGGAAATTGACAGAAACACAAAAATTATCTACAAATCGGCCACGATGCAGAAAAAAAGTGCTCAGCAATGAAGGGGTGAAACTCTAAAACATCAAGAGTGAAAAACATAACATAATTAATAATTAAAATTAATATATATATATATATACTTAATATAATAATTATTAAAATTATTAAAATAAAAATTAATAAAATGTTATAAAGAATTTCTAAAAAAAATACATTCAATCCACATCTTAAAAGTAAGTAATTTGGTCCAAAAACAACTAGAATTCACAAGCATCTCCATTTGGAGCTATACAGGCATCTAGTGGTAAATCCATGCAATAACATGATTTATTTAATTTTATGTTTAATAAATTGATTTTTTTTTCTTTTTTTTTTCTGAAAGCCTAGTCTCTATTTTAACCGAAAATACTGCATAGAAAAAAAAAAAAAAAAAAAAAAAATCATTATTTTCAATGGCAAAAAATTTACCATAATATTGCATAAATATTAATAGGTTCAATCAAATTGTCTCAAAATACTAAATTAAAAAGAATAAATATTATAGAACAAAAATAAATTACATTGGTTTTACTGGGATGGAGGAAGTTTCATTTTTAGGTGTCCGGTCACTTCTGACCGGGAAGGCCCAGGATGTGACTCCGAAACGAAGACCGTCTGAGGGTTAACTTCGTTCAATAGGGTGCCAGATTTCTATAGAGCCTTCCAAGCGAAAACCCGGCTAAAACACGCGTAATCAGGCCTTAATATGTAGCGGAAAAAAAACACCCAATCTGGCAACACCGACCACCAGTGTCGCACCACGGCCGCCGCATGCGTGTCATCAAGACAAAAAATGGCGTCGAATGATTATTTAAATTAAACGAGTTGTATGACAAGGTCGGTGAGGATAGGAAAAATCTTACATTTCTGTGCAAACTTTGCCCGTCGATAAAATAAAAGCTGTCTGTGGTTGTATATGGGCTGTGGCAATAAAAAATAAAATAAAAAAAAACCTCGCATCAACATAATATGGAAAAAAGAACTATGAACTTTTTGAATGAACTATGAACCGAACTAGTTCATTTAAAAATTTGTGAACTGAACTTTGAACTAGTTCATGTAGAAAATGAACTTTCCCAACACTGAAGGGGAGAGAATATACAGTTTTTGACAGTATAAAAACCATTACGTCTATGGAGAGGCCCCACAAAGATAGTGAACCAGACGTGTGTGCGTGTGTGTGTGTAACATTCTTGGAAGATGTGCAGCACAGACAAAGATAGCCAATCAGATTACAGATCAAGAAAGTGCTTTCCAGTGCCAACTGTTAGCAGTGATTCCTACTGTTTTGGAATTTCGTTCCTGGATTGACGAGGTCCATAGGAATGCACTTCATTTCAATAATACAAAAAAAAAGTTTGCAGTGCATAAACAGTGAATATTTGCTCTTGTATCGCATCCCATGCCCTGTTTGTACGGGTTAAACACCAGCCTTCCTCTGATTATTAGTTACTGGTCTTTCGATTTCCATGACTAAACATTCCCCGTAGGGCCGTACCTCGCTGACAGGAGGAGCTCGACTGCACTGAAACAGTCGACTTTTATCCGTTACAGCCACTTCCTGTTTGCCTTTGTTTTCTGATGGCCTTTGAGCGTCATCACTCAACAGGAGGTGGCCAGTCTTTTTTGTGTTTTATAGGCAGCGCACATGTGCTCGGTTGAACTCTATATTTATGCCCTGTTCAAATGTACCACCAGTAAAGTGATTGCAAGTGCACAGAGGAACGTTTTATTGCTTCGAGGTTTATTCATAGCCATGGGGATTTAAAGACCACATGAAATCCAAATGGCTTTTATGCCTGTTAGCTTTGAGGCCATCTGTATGTTAGTGCACTGCTAAAAGTTTGCTAAATAAACTTTTAGTACATGTGAGGGTATAAAAATGACTATCTATCTCTTCCAGACCAAAGAAATATAAAAGCACAGTCACAGGGGCAAATACAAATTTGTCCAATGAAATGCTCTCTAGATTTGAAGATTTGGATTTGTAATAGCAAGAAGCAAATCACAGTTAGTTGGGTGTCTTCAGCTGTGCTAATGCTTGTCACACTCTCTAGCCATGTCACGATTCGATACATATCACGATACTGGACTAAATTTGGTATTACATTGTGGGTGTAAATGAATAGGCTTGGACTTGGCGCTGGTAACCCAATGCACAGGACAATATTGACCCCAGATTAAAAATATTCATGATTCTGATGCTGAAAATACAGTTATTGTAGATGAATGCTTGCACTCGGTCACTCACTAGATATATTTAAAATAATGTAGGCCACTTTTAACTGGTAACATAAGACATTTGGCATTATCAGGAGCCACAAATATTCCCCCATTGCATTATTATACATTATATTCAACATTATATTGTATATAGTTTAATGTAGTACTGACAATAAAACTCTGTGTAACAGTAGTTTTCATTTTGGGTGAACTATACACAATACATAATCACTATCCACGATAAATGCTGTTTTTATCTCTTTTTTTTTTTATTACATGGTCACGCTGGAAGGAAAGATTGTGATATCTCAATGGGATCTTCCTGGTACAAGAAAGGATAAATAAATAAGCAAGTAATAGAGGTGAATCGGGACTCTTTTTGCCATTGAGACGACCCAATCATATTGAATTCACTCCTATAAATAATTTTTCAGGCTGCAGTATTCACAGCTTTCAGAGCATCAATTGCGCGCGAAGGAAGTGTCTTGAAAGTGTTTGAAAGTGTCTTCATAGCTTTCATCCGTGGAACAAGCTGTCAAGTGGGGTTTTGCAGGTCTGTGACTGTGACGTAAATTGCAGATTTTTTGGGTATTGAAAATATATGTATATACATTTCACTGGAAAAATGTCAGGAAAGAAAACGAATTAAACCATGGGATTTTTAGTGGACGTCCCACTGTTTTATTATAGCATCAACTTTGCCTTAGATACACTGTATTTCTCCTAAAATATGTATTTTAGTACATGTAGATGTTTGTTAACTTGTGGTTGTGGGGAAGGTAGAATTATTAGGCTAAAGAACTTTTTCCTTTCCTTATGCTACATTGGTGTGTGTGTGTGTGTGTGTGTGTGTAATCAGCCCAGTGTGTCTACTTTGTATTTTCTATCATGCAAAGCTGTGTGTGGTTCATTTACACGCTCATTTGAAGTGGAGGATTTAATTTCTCCACAGCACTTCCTCGCCTCTGAAGTTTCCCTCTTTCTGTTACTCTCTTTTTCCTTTTCTCTCTCTCTCTCTCCCTCCCTCTCTCTCCCTACAGGTGATTTGAATAATAATGTGTCAGACTTCATTTTTATCATTGATTATTCTTCTACCTTGTTCGCCCTTCCTTCTCTTCTCCCTCGCTCTTTTTCTTTCTGTTTTAAATGACTTGCTTCCATAATTAGTTTGTGGTCTCGGTCCCGCTGTTATCGTGGGCTCATTAAAAGCAGCAGAAGTCACTTGTGTGAATCGAATCTAATAAGAGCGGACAGGTCGTCCCAGCCACCAGCTACGGGGACGCGTGGGCTCCTGGGTACTGATCTAAGCCCGGATTCTCTATGAGACCTGCCTTTACCAAAAGAAAACGCAATCCTGGCTTGAACATCAGAGCGGGAATGGGAGAGAGAGAGAGAATGTGTGTGGCACTTTGAGTGTCTGGTTGGTTATCAGCGCTCAGCAGATTCCTATGCAGACTAAAGAGCTGCTCGGAAAAAACAGCTGCTTTTTATGAAAGTGGGTCAGAATAGTGTAGTGCTGAACGTTAGCGTGAGCGCTTCCCCAATGTAAATATGTTACACTATCCAATGAGAGAGAGAGAGAGAGAGAGACCGGTGAAAGCAGGACACAGAGCAGAGAGACGGGCATAAGAAAGACAGGCACACACACACACACACACACACACACACACCCACACAGTAGAGTTAAAGAGTGCTGGAAGTGAGTGCTGGATTTGTCTGATTGTCTGATCTCTACCTGTGATGCAAAGCAAACCTGACACCAAGGCTGAGTGCGAAATCGCCCCCTATACCCTTAAGTAGGGCACTATTTGAGGGGACAGCCAGTGGTGTCCGAAACCATAGTGGACGTTATCGAGTGCTCTCATTCAATCCCATAATGCACCGCAATAACGAGTGTACAACCCATGTACGCTCCACGGCTAAAGAATACCCATAATGCACTGTGAGAGTCGGGCGGTGAATGAATTACCGCGTCTCGCAAGAAGATGGCGACTGCAGCTGAACCATCCATCCATCCCACACACTCCATCCATCCATCCATCCATCCCACACACTCCATCCATCCATCCATCCCACACACTCCATCCATCCATCCATCCCACACACTCATCCATCCATCCATCCATCCATCCATCCCACACACTCATCCATCCATCCATCCATCCATCCATCCCACACACTCCATCCATCCATCCATCCCACACACTCCCATCCATCCATCCATCCATCCATCCATCCATCCCACACACTCCATCCATCCATCCATCCCACACACTCCCATCCATCCATCCCACACACTCCATCCATCCATCCATCCCACACACTCCATCCATCCATCCATCCATCCCACACACTCCATCCATCCATCCATCCCACACACTCCATCCATCCATCCATCCCACACACTCCATCCATCCATCCATCCCACACACTCCATCCATCCATCCATCCCACACACTCCCATCCATCCATCCATCCATCCATCCCACACACTCCCATCCATCCATCCATCCATCCATCCATCCCACACACTCCATCCATCCATCCATCCATCCCACACACTCCATCCATCCATCCATCCATCCCACACACTCCATCCATCCATCCATCCCACACACTCCATCCATCCATCCATCCCACACACTCCATCCATCCATCCATCCCACACACTCCATCCATCCATCCATCCATCCCACACACTCCATCCATCCATCCATCCATCCATCCCACACACTCCCATCCATCCATCCCACACACTCCATCCATCCATCCATCCCACACACTCCATCCATCCATCCATCCATCCCACACACTCCATCCATCCATCCATCCCACACACTACCATCCATCCATCCCACACACTCATCAATCCATCCATCCATCCCACACACTCCCATCCATCCATCCATCCATCCATCCCACACACTCCCATCCATCCATCCCACACACTCCATCCATCCATCCATCCATCCATCCCACACACTCCATCCATCCATCCATCCATCCATCCATCCATCCATCCATCCATCCATCCATCCCACACACTCCATCCATCCATCCCATCCCACACACTCCATCCATCCATCCATCCATCCCACACACTCATCCATCCATCCATCCATCCATCCCACACACTCATCCATCCATCCATCCATCCATCGTAAATTCATTTTTAATTGATTATTAATTGTTTTATACGTTTTATATATGCTAGTTTCCATGTCAGAGTTCAATATACATCTTTCCATTACTACTGGAGCTGCCAATTTGCCAAGTTTCAAGTGATTATTAAACAGCAAATACAAACTATGCAAAAGCAGCAGCCCTTCACACACTCAGTGTCCGAATTCACTCACTCGTTTTCATTCACTCACTCATCCATCCATCCATCCATCCATCCCACACACTCATCCATCCATCCATCCATCCATCCATCCCACACACTCATCCATCCATCCATCCATCCCACACACTCCATCCATCCATCCATCCATCCATCCCACACACTCATCCATCCATCCATCCATCCATCCCACACACTCCATCCATCCATCCATCCCACACACTCATCCATCCATCCATCCATCCCACACACTCCATCCATCCATCCATCCCACACACTCATCCATCCATCCATCCATCCCACACACTCCATCCATCCATCCATCCCATCCCACACACTCATCCATCCATCCATCCATCCATCCATCCATCCATCCATCCCACACACTCATCCATCCATCCACACATCCATCCATCCATCCATCCCACACACTCATCCATCCATCCCATCCCACACACTCATCCATCCATCCATCCATCCATCCATCCCACACACTCATCCATCCATCCATCCATCCCACACACTCATCCATCCATCCATCCCACACACTCATCCATCCATCCATCCATCCATCCATCCATCCATCCATCCATCCATCCATCCATCCATCCATCCATCCATCCATCCATCCATCCATCCATCCATCCATCCATCCATCCATCCATCCATCCATCCATCCATCCATCCATCCATCCATCCATCCATCCATCCATCCATCCATCCATCCATCCATCCATCCATCCATCCATACATAATTCATTATTAATTGTTTTATACGTTTTATATATGCTAGTTTCCATGTCAGAGTTCAATATACATCTTTCCATTACTACTGGAGCTGCCAATTTGCCAAGTTTCAAGTGATTATTAAATGGCAAATACAAACTATGCAAAAGCAGCAGCCCTTCACACACTCAGTGTCCGAATTCACTCACTCGTTTTCATTCACTCACTCAAGTGCACTTTATAAGTGGACTAATGTCGGGAATAGTGAATTAGGGTATAGGGTACGATCGCGACACACTGCCCAAGACTCTATTCATATAGTATTCTGTTGTTTTACTAATACTCTAATGAGAGTTAGTTGACATGTAGTTGCAAAGTTACTTATAGTTAGTAAAATATCTAAAGTGGACCATCGAAATATCTAAAGTGGACCATCGAAATATCTAAAGTGGACCATCGAAATATCTAAAGTGGACCATTGAAATAAAGTGTTACCAATTATTAGATAGCCATATATTTAATATTTCATAAAGTGGCGTGTGCATGCGGATGAGTATAGTGGTTGTCTAAGACGTGGTTGTTTGCTCTGGAAGTGTGTGTTTCCCACAGTAAGTACGAGTGAAGTCGTCCATTTGCCTTTGCCTTCCCAGCATGCCACACATCGCAGCGCAGCTCATGGTCTCTGGAGCTCGAACGCTAATGACACATTATGAGCTCTAAGCCTGTCGTTTATGATAAACAAACCAGCCCTGCTATTTCCAGTCCTGCTGTATGTTCAGTGTGTGTAAACATGAAGCTGAAATTGCTCCTGAGATTGCCTTCTGTCGCAGTTTTATGGATCGACTGAAAGGTTTGTTTGAGCTTTCACAGCTGAAACACGGTCACTTGCACCATATTCACCTACGTCTACACTAAAATGTGTGCACTGGTGCCTTTGATAACCGCACCATTATATTGATCTTGATACCACAGATGTTTTTCATGTACTGTGCTTTTGAAAAGGTGTTACAGTAACATCTAGATAAAGCCATTACCTTCATTATTACACACATATATTTCTTTGTATGTACAAGAACACCCATTTTTGTTTACGGAGGAAAGAAATGAATAAACGCTCTAGTGCAGTGGGTTGTGGGTAAGCATATAACTCCCAGCAGAAATCATGCGTCATTTACACACGATGTTCAACCTAGTGTGCTTTGGGGCTCATTTGAATCTCACATACTTATTTATATTTAAAATAGCTGGTATTGAAATTTGGGACGCAGGGAGAGTCTTTTCTTGCTATAGAAGTTAGAAATGAGAGAGTGTGTGGAGTCTCAATCACACTGGGCTGAACGAGGCCTGACATCTGATCATGAAAATCAAATCATTCTGCTGTGTGTGTGTGTGTGTGTGTGTGTGTGTGTGTGTGTGTGTGTGTGTGTGTGTGTGTGTGTGTGTGTGTGTGTGTGTGTGTGTGTGTGTGTGTGTGTGTGTGTGTGTGTGTGTGTGTGTGTGTGTGTGTGTGTCTGTGTGTGTGTGTGTGTGTGAGAGTAACATTAAGTAGAGACTTGCTAGATACAGAGAATAAAACTTCAGTCAAGCCGAGGTGTGTGTGTGTGTGTGTGTAAGAGTTACAATGTTACAATGTCAATGTTAATGATTATGTCTGATTTGTGTAGTGTGGTTTATATTCCAGTGTTAATGTTCACATTGATTCATATTTCTGTCAAACATTATGTCTGTTCATGTTTTTTTACTTCAAGTGATTATCATTTCATGTTTCATTTGTTCTCTTCATGGCTCATTTTCCTGTTTCATTTCTTTCATTCTTTAATTTCATCTTTTGTTTGGTTTTCAGTTGATTTTATTGGTGGATTTGACCCATTCCCACTCTACCATGTCAATGAGAAACCATCTCATCTTCTGTTAAAGCCCGTGCATCAGTAAGTACCTGTGTGTGTGTGTGTGTGTGTGTGTGTGCATGACTGTGAGTTTGTGTGTGTGCATGAGTGTGTGTGTGTGTGTGTGTGTGTGTGTGTGTGTGTGTGTGTGTGTGTGTGTGTGTGTGTGTGTGCATGCGTGAGTGAGTGTGTGCAAGCTAAATCTGACAAAACTTCCTCTTGGGGACAGTTAGTAATGTCATCAGTTTGAAAATCGTACTATATACTATAAATTTATAAATCAAATTTTTTAATACATAGGTTAAATTTACAGACAAAATAAAACAATATGTATTAGAGTGTGTGCACTCTTAAAAATCAAGGTTGCAAAAGTAGGTTTTCACAGCAAAAACCTTTTCTTTCCCTAAAGTAGCTTTCAGTGAAGAGTTCTTAAAAGAACCATTATTTTCTCAGTGTGAAGATCAATAATCCGAAGAACCTTTTTTCCAAGGGAAATATTCCATGGATGTTAAAAGCTCCGTAAGGAACCATCGATGCCAATAAACATCCTTAATGTGCGACTGTGAATCCAGTCACATCCTCTGCGTGTGAATGCAGTCAGATAGATCCTCTTACACATGTCCCTGCTTGCCCCTTATCTAAAGCATTAATTAAACTTAGTTTTCTTTTAATTAGTGTAAGTTCTTAATTAGTGCATTCATTAAGCATTCTGATCTTGTCCAGCGAGGGATTAGTGAAACTGTCTGAAGCTAAATCGAAAGAACTTTTATATCAACTAAACAGTTTTTTTTTTTGTATTGTTATTGGCAAAAATCACGTGTGCTATTAGTATAAGTTTAACATGAAAAGTGCCATATGCTTCCAGGTTACATTTCATTTTTTAACACGAGAACTACTTCAGGACTTTTATAGTTTATGTGCTGCAAAACCATCTTGTTTTAAACGCCGGCAGCCGGAAGCGGCACAATGTTTGGCCAACTTTCCTCACACGTTTATCATTAGTTATGTGCCAAGTAAAATAAGTTCGCATCTTCTGAAGAAATAATAAAAACAAAAATCTGTATTACTTCACAAGCCAGACTGCTGAAATGGAAGTGTAAATGTGTGTCATGTACTCATCAAGCTAGAAGTTCAGAGCAAGCCATTTTTGTGGTTTAGTTTCAATGAATCTGGGGAGAATGTTTTCATTGTGGAGTCGTACAGTGTGTTTTCTCCTTTCTACCTGCTGCCACCCTCGATCTTACGTGGGTTTATCTTTAGTATATGGAGAATATGGATCAGTGGAGTGGTCCCTCTGAGACCGGGTCTGGCCTCATTTCAATAAGCCTTAAATTATGCAGGATCTGTAATGAGCGTCTGCAAAAGAAGCCTTTTCAATATGTGCACATGGAGGTGCTAAACACATTATATTTGCCCTGGGGACATTTTTCATGACAGTTTAATCAGACTAGTTGCAAATGAGAGAAGTACTTGTCCTGTCTCTAGATACACAACCATTTCACGGTCTCAGGGAGTTTAATAAATCACCCAGCAGGTGTGTGTGTGTGTGTGTGTGTGTGTGTGTGTGTGTGTGTGTGTGTGTGTGTGTGTGTGTGTGTGTGTGTGTGTGTGTGTGTGTGTGTGTGTGTGTGTGTGTGTGTGTGTGTGTGTGTGTGTGTGTGTGTGTGTGTGTGTGTGTGTTGGGAAGTAAGTTTAAACTTCTAGTACTGTAATTAGAGGTTATGGAAAGTGGATTTTGCAGATAAAGATGTCCAAGGTGGGAAAACAGGCCAGTAACCCAATGAATCAGCAATTTATATGACAGTAATATGAATAAAAACTTTCCACTCAGTGTAAAATAGTGCTAAACTTTATTATGCATTTAACAATAACGACTTAACCATAACATTATATTGTAATTCTTAAATTAAATCAAATAAAAACTGCCATGAAAAAAGTTTGGGGTCAGTAAAATTTTTTAATAACTCAGTGTCACACGATCCTACAGAAATCATTCTAATAGGATGATTTGATGATCAAAAAACAATTATTATCATCAATGTTGAAAACAGTTGCTTGGTATTTTTGAGGAAGCCGTGAAAGTTTAAAAAAATGCAATTTATTTGAAATAGAAATCTTTTGTAACATTATAAATGTCACTTTTGATTAATTTTATGCATCCTTGTAGAGTAAAATATTAATGTCTTCTGACTGACCTAAAGTCTAAAGTTATGAACGGTTGTGTATACATTCAAATTGAACCAAAACTATCCATAAAACCATAAAATACCAAAATAACCATAAAATAAAGTAAAATAAAAAGTGACGTACAGAACTAAAGAACCCTCCAGATAACAACCACCAGCAACCATCAATCTGTCAAACCGATATATGGGTTAACTCTAATAGCATTTCTCTGTTTGTGTTTTCCAGGTCTTCGTAAATGAGAGCGTGTCCTGAAGAGAAGCCGTTCTGCCCGTTCCTCCTCTCTTCCGCCTCTCCTCTGTTTAAAGAGTGTCAGCTCTGGATGAAACACCGCCTCATTTAGACACTTCTACAAGTGGCTGTAAAGCATATCTAAAGAAAAAAGGTCCTGTATTCTGAGCGGTGTTGTGTGGGGTCTGTGCGCTTGAGTGTGTGTGAGGAGGGCCAGTGTGTGCTGTTTACCTTCACACAGGATGAGCGCAGTAAAACAGAGGAGCGAGCCGAGAGGAGGACAGACAAAACACAAGACAAAGCCAGCTAAACTCCTGTGCTAGTCAAAAATAGAAGCAAAGAAATAACATATAAATACAAGACAGAATTAGCTTTTCTGAAAATTGTTTTATGTCATAGTGTGATGTACCATTCTCATGAGTCACTCTCAGATTCAGTTTTAGTTTTTTGTTTTAGATTTATGCAGTGATCCCTGTATTTGGACACTCAAATCACACTAAACATTGTATAAATGTCATGACGTTAGATCAAATATGGGTTATACACACTCAGTCGGGTTCTTGACTCTATTTTAAAGAACACTTTATGCCAAAAAGGTTCTATAATACTCTTAAAAATAAAGGTTCTTTATGGGCATTGATGGTTTCTTGAAGAATCTTTAATATCCTAGAAGAACCTTTCCGTTGCACAAAAGTGGGAAACGTTTTTTTTTAGGAACTGTTCACTGAAAGGTTTTTTTGGGGAACCAAAAATGGTTCTTTTATGGCATTCCAGTGTTGGGGGTAACACATTACAAGTAACGCGGGCTATGTAATCAGATTACTTTTTCATGTAACTCGTGTAAAGTAACAATTACTTTTAAAATTACAACAAAATATCTGAGTTACTTTTTCAAATAAGTAACGCAAGTTACTTAGTTTTCCCATGTATTGACTGACAGCTCTCCCGTTGAGAGAAAGTGCAGAGCTTTGTGTGTGAACATGACGGTTATTGTAGTTCTAGACTAAATGTGAGGATTTATGCATCTCACACAGATTCAGTATTCCTCAAAATGAATAAAACAGTGAAAAAAACTCCGAATATTACGCAAACGTTAAATAAAACAAATGAACTTTATGTATTTAATCTCACTTTATTAAGCAATGTCTTTGCTGCTGACCTTTGATGATCCAATTCAATCATACTAATAATAATAATAATAATAAGCAAAAACTTTTGGTGTGAAACAACAAGCAAGCCCAGGTGAGAAAAAGTAATTTTTACGTTACACATTAATTTACAGAAAAAGCAACTAAGTTATGTAATTAGTTGCTTTTCTTTTTTGCAAGAAATGCAATATTGTAACACATTACTTGTAAAAGTAACTTTCCCCGACACAGATGGCATCACTGTACATAACATTTTCTGGAACCTTTATTTTTTAAGAGTGTTTAAGGAGAAATGTCTTCAATGACTGCATAATACTTTCATGGTTATTTAATTTTTTTCTGTTTAATTTATAATAAGCTGTTTAATTCATAAAATTTAATTGAATCAAAAAATGAATTAAAACTAAATTAGTTCATTAAAATGAAAATGATCCCATGATGGAACTCCTAAAAGGTTCTATATATGATGCGTCTGACAGAACCCGTTAAGGTTCTATATATGATGCGTCTGACAGAACCCATTAAGGTTCAATATATGATGCGTCTGACAGAACCCATTAAGGTTCAATATAGAACCTTCTAAGAGTGACTGAAAATCGCCTTGCCACTTTTATTTGCAGATGATTCTTGCTTTTATATTTTGTATGCGATGCAATGAAATGTGTCCATTTTAAGTGTGACTTAAGCGTTCAAACATTTTGGGGTCACTGTACATGCCGTCAGTATTTTTAATGTTAATAATCATCATTTATTGCACAATGTGTTTGTATAATCAGCCTTTAGATCTAACAGAAACTAGTTTGGGCAGTATACAATATACCACATAACCTCCTACAATTCAAACTGAAATGTTTTTCATTAATATTGTTATAGGACTGGCTGATATTATGAAACAGAAAGGGGTTCTTTCATTTGAGTGGTGCTTGCAATCAAATATCAGTTGTTTGTGAACAAATCGTCAGCATGTCTTTATATGAATCTGAAAACGGTTGAGTGGCTGTCAATGTCTTTCACTGTAGATGCAGAGCTACTGTAGCTTTTTACTGGAAACATAAACCTCAAAGCACAACTGATTGACCTGACATGCAACGTTACATGTATCATAGTGTGTGTGTGTGTGTGACATGTTTTGGAAAGAGGGGCTGTCTTATTTCTTTCTAAAGTGAGATGTGAAGGCCAAAGGTCCGTATGAACAAGCTTGTACTCCCAGATGTTTCATATCATGAGATTTGTGCACTGCATTGGCCTGATGGTGAAGGGGCACATCATGCTCTTAAAGGAGAAGTTCACCATTGCTCTACCTGTATGTCCTGTAGGAGAACTTTTGAAGAATGCGCACGTTGCTCTTTTATATATAATTAATTCATGCATTTTCAGATTGCATAAACGTTTGCGCTATATGAAGTCATACGATTGCGTATGGGAAAGAGTCGCGGGAACATTCTGCAGAATATCTTGTTTTGTGTTAAATCAAAGTGTAACAACATGAGTAAATGATGTTTTTATTTAAGGTGAACTACTCCTTTAAACATGGCATGGGTTCAGGGGAAGTTTTTTTTTAGCATTTATTTTATGAGAGTATGTAACACTTCCAGCTTAATAATTTCGGCTTGCTGTAATGGTGTGTACACAGTGTCCTGTTAGGTCATCTATGGATCTATCCTGCCCCCTAGTGTTTAATGTCCTTCTGTACACAACATCTCAACTCTAGGAACAGGAACATGTTGTACCACTCTCTGAAAATATCCATGTACATTTGTAATTGTAGATTTTAGGATATTGAATATAAGCCAGGAGTGATAGTCTTCTGCATATGTGTTATAATGAGAAAAGGAATGATATATCACACTTTTCCCCCTCGTCTTAATGGCTCTGTCTCTTTTTACAGGTGTTTTTTTAAGCCCTTTTTGTATCTCTTTCCTGTGTTTGGTCTTTTCTCTATAGTTCTACATTGACTGCCTGTCCATCAACACGTGTTTGCTGACCACAGTGTAAATAGATGTTTGTTAATAAAAGTCTGCTTTTCATCATACGTCTTGTTTTTGTTGCACGGTGCTGTCCTATATCTAACGAATAGATAGGGACTCACCGCGCCTTTCAATTAGTCCATATGAGGCGCATAGACAAACAATTCCAAGAGAGAGGCACTTCAAGAGAGTCCACACCACACACTCCACCAAAGACAACAGTCTATCCTAATAATCTAACCAAACAGCCATGCAATGTGTTGGACAGGAAATTTCAAGATAATACAAATAATGAATATAGTAGAAAAATAAAATGTAATGCTCTTGTGGATGGATTATTTTGATTTTATTTGATTAAGATGGATGGATGGATGGAGATACAGTAGATGAATGGATGGAGGTATATAGATGGATGGATATAGAAGATATATAGATGGAAGGAGTTAGACAGATAGATAAATGGATGGATGTAGATAGATAGATAGATAGATGGATAGATAGATGGAAGGAAAGAAGAATGTCTTCAGATGGATAGATAGATAGATGGAAGGAAGGAAGAATGTCTTCAGATGGATAGATAGAAGGAAGGAAGAATGTCTTCAGATAGATAGATGGAAGGAAGGAAGGAAGAATGTCTTCAGATGGATAGATAGAAGGAAGGAAGAATGTCTTCAGATAGATAGATGGAAGGAAGAATGTCTTCAGATAGATAGATAGAAGGAAGGAAGAATGTCTTCAGATGGATAGATAGAAGGAAGGAAGGAAGAATGTCTTCAGATGGATAGATAGATAGATAGAAGGAAGGAAGAATGTCTTCAGATGGATAGATAGAAGGAAGGAAGAATGTCTTCAGATAGATAGATAGAAGGAAGGAAGAATGTCTTCAGATAGATAGATAGAAGGAAGAATGTCTTCAGATGGATAGATAGAAGGAAGGAAGAATGTCTTCAGATAGATAGATAGAAGGAAGGAAGAATGTCTTCAGATAGATAGATAGAAGGAAGGAAGAATGTCTTCAGTTGGATATGATGAATGGATAGAGACAGACAGATGATAGATGAAACTATAGCCTAAAGGTACGATCAGTCAGAACAGATGCTATATCGAGTTTAAAATAGTAGACCAGTATGCTATTAAACATATTTAGAACGATCAAATAATATTTCTAAAATACACAAATAATAGGCTTAGCTATAATTTTCACCTGTCGCTGTACTGAATCGATAGATCGGCCTATGCAAAAATATCACGTAGGCTTTATTTGATTATCCACCGATTCAGTATGCTCCGCTTTTTCATGTCAACTTTTCCCCCCATCATGTCTTCAGTGCAGATATAAAACTGCATCGTTTTTCATTAGCCCTCTGAACGTCAGTTCGACTTTTCCCACGGCTATTAAATGTTAGAGCTGCTAGTAACCAGACCTGTCCGTCAGGTGGCGATATTGGCTAAAGTCGACACACACACAGTTGGCATAGAAGAAGAGGTTTTCTCGCGATTTAATGTTTCAACATGGCTGCCTCCTCGAGCAGTGCTGCCACTGTTAGTCAGAGTGATCATTCCCCATTAGCCGAAGAACCAGAGGCAGAAACAGAGTTTTGTCCCGGATTCAAGGATGTCGATGCATTTGTCAAGGTCGGTTGGTCTTTTCAGTGCGTAAATCCCGCTGCAACTAACTGTAAACACAAGCGCAACGTGGAACGAGTGGCCATGCGTGCATACGCAGTAACGTTTGAGATTTATATTTTAGAAATGTGAAGGCGCAGTGAATGTATTGGAGTGTTGTTTGTTTCCGCAGCATGGCCTGGGAGCGGTGGTGTCCTCCACGAAGGCGTCCGCAGCTCTCCCCGCAGCCGGAGATGAGTTTGACCTGTACCGCAGCTTCCCCGCCTTCCAGCACTTCTGCGCCTCACAGGGGGACCGACTCTTACACTGGTAAAACACCCTACTCGAGCACTGGGCCAGTGGACACTCGGGGCTCATGCACCATAGGGGTTTTAATAAGTCAATGTACTCCAGGTTGCCATGAGGGATGTCATAAAACCATAGTATGTTTTGATACTTTTTTGGTGAACTGACATAATATACACTCACCGGCCACTTTATTAGGTACACCTGTCCAACTGCTCGTTAACACTTAATTTCTAAGCAGCCAATCACATGGCGGCAACTCAGTGCATTTAGGCATGTAGACATGGTCAAGACAATCTCCTGCAGTTCAAACCAAGCATCAGTATGGGGAAGAAAGGTGATTTGAGTGACTTTGAACGTGGCATGATTGTTGGTGCCAGAAGGGCTGGTCTGAGTATTTCAGAAACTGCTAATCTACTGGGATTTTCACGCACAACCATCTCTAGGGTTTACAGAGAATGGTCCGAAAAAGAAAAAACATCCAGTGAGCGGCGGTTCTGTGGGCGGAAATGCCTTGTTGATGCCAGAGGTCAGAGGAGAATGGCCAGACTGGTTCGAGCTGATAGAAGGGCAACAGTGACTGAAATAACCACTCGTTACAACCGAGGTATGCAGCAAAGCATTTGTGAAGCCACAACACGCACAACCTTGAGGCGGATGGGCTACAACAGCAGAAGACTCCACCGGGTACCACTCATCTCCACTACAAATAGGAAAAAGAGGCTACAATTTGCAAGAGCTCACCAAAATTGAACAGTTGAAGACTGGAAAAATGTTGCCTGGTCTGATGAGTCTCGATTTCTGTTGAGACATTCAGATGTTAGAGTCAGAATTTGGCGTAAACAGAATGAGAACATGGAACCATCATGCCTTGTTACCACTGTGCAGGCTGGTGGTGGTGGTGTAATGGTGTGGGGGATGTTTTCCTGGCACACTTTAGGCCCCTTAGTGCCAATTGGGCATCGTTTAAATGCCACGGCCTACCTGAGCATTGTTTCTGACCATGTCCATCCCTTTATGGCCACCATGTACCCATCCTCTGATGGCTACTTCCACCATGTCACAAAGCTCTAATCATTTCAAATTGGTTTCTTGAACATGACAATGAGTTCACTGTACTAAAATGGCCTCCACAGTCACCAGATCTCAACCCAATAGAGCATCTTTGGGATGTGGTGGAACGGGAGATTCGCATCATGGATGTGCATCCCACAAATCTGCGGCAACTGTGTGATGCCATCATGTCAATATGGACCAAACTCCCTGAGGAATGCTTCCAGCACCTTGTTGAATCTATGCCACGAAGAATTGAGGCAGTTCTGAAGGCAAAAGGGGGTCCAACCCGTTACTAGCATGGGGTACCTAATAAAGTGGCCGGTGAGTGTAAATCGCACAGTAGATCAAATAGATTTTCGTTGGGTTCGTAGATCCAATTAAGAAAAATGCTCATCTTGGTCATCAGATTGTCTTTGAAGACTCCTATATTAAAGCGATAGTTCACCCAAAAAATAAATACATTTACTTACCCTCAAGCCATCCTAGGTGTATATGACTTTCTTCTTTTAGCCAAACACAATCAGATTTATATATATAAAAAATATCCTGTCTCTTACAAGCTTTTTAATGGGAGTGAGTAGTAGATTTTGAAGCCCAAAAAAGCTCATCCATCCATCATAAAAGTATCCCATACTGCTCCAGGGGGTTAATAAAGTGGTGGAAGAGTGACCTTTGACCCGACACATGATGTAGGAGTTGCGTAAGGATTCAAACTGGGCTGGGAAACAAACTTGCACTCCTCCCATATTTCTCTTTATTAATTCTTGTTTTACACTTCTAATTCATGACTGGTGTTTTGTTTTGTTCTGTCCTCTGCGCTTCGGCGGTCGTCAATACATCATTGGTCGGGTCAGAGGTCAGGTCACTCTTCCATCGGATCGACTTGCGTGCGGAAACCACTGATTCTAGTTTATAAAGTTATAAATATGGATATTTTTCTTACACAAACGCTTCGCTTCAGAAGGCCTTTATTAACCCCCTGGAGTTTTTATGATAGATGGACGGATGACTGAACCCTTTAACTGTACAGTAGCAAATTATTATTTCTTAAATATCCTACTGGATAAACTGACATTTCTTCTGTTTTTGCCTTTTCTTTTTTTACTTTATTAGGCTTTATATTAATACAAGTTAAACCTAAAGTGTCTCCACAGTTTTTCAAGAAAAAGATTTCTTCTGTTTTGGGCTCTCAGACATCATTTATAAAACATTTTTTTTTTTTTTTTTTATGATTGTTATTATTACTAGAGCTGCATGATTATGGATAAATTAAATTTTTTAAATGGAGATCATGATTCTCCTATGATTCTGAACGGACAACTAAACAAAATACCATGTCATTTACTTGAGGTTCTGACAAAATATGAACTGATCCAGTCTATTTAAAAAATATCAAATTATTTTGAATGAATTCTTATTTTAAATGAATGATTCAATGACTCGCTCATAAATACTTCACTTGTTTCTTAACCGGATGAATCGGTGCTTTTGAATGAATGATTCAGTGACAAATACATTTTTTAACAGTAACTTGTCGCCACCTACTGGTGTAACAATGTAATGGATACAGTCTTAGTTAGAAGCAAGTTGCTTTGAAAAGGTGATTTGCTCTATTTTGATTGCTACCGTAGACATCAGTGATTTATATTTGAACTATAAACTTTTATCCAAGTACTTCTGTGATCACTTGAATTACTTTAACACAGACATAATGAAACCGTGTGTTTGAAAAGACTGTTTGTGAAGCTGTTTCATACATGATAACTGCTCTCATCATATCTGAATCACTGTGACTGTGCTGGTCAAAGGTTTAGAAGATGATTCACTATCATTTAGGAATAAGATCTCGCGGGTGTTTGAATCGACTTCGGGATCTTTTAACGGTTAATCGTGCAGCTCTAATTACTACATTCAGCATTAGCATCTGTTGGAGCTCAGGCCATCCTTAAAAATATTTTGGTTTGCAGTAACAGCAAAAAAAAAAAAAAAAAAGGGTCGGTAGGTAGGTCTATATTTTTTTTTTTCAAGATTCAATGTAAAAAAAAAAGGATAATTTTGGTCATGGTGATTAGGTCGGTATGAATTTAAACAAATTTGCATATCGTGACGTCACTGACTGGGTCTTCAACCCCCATGCCTTCGGGCGCACCATTGCGAACCTCATTCTGATACAGGTTATAGACCACAAACAATTTGAAATCTTTGTAAAAAAAAAAACATATTTATTGCATTAATTCCAGCTGCATTCATTTGGAAAAAAATAGGCAGAATCAAAAGAAAAAAAGGAGCCACTAGATTTCAATGAAAGGGGATTTTCAGAGGTAAACAAATAAATTAAAATGACTAATCTCACCAGCGCCGCGCCGACCAATAAAACAGCGCGTTTGGCACCATTCGTTTACATTTGACCCATACTGTTACAAGCCCCCTTTCTGGTCTAGGGGCAGGAAAGGAGGGTAACAAAAAGTTGCAGGGAGAGAGTGAGAGATTTGACCCATAAACATCTGCTATTATTAACGGAAATCAGTGTGGTCAAATAGCTAGGCGCATTGTAGGAAACTATAGGCCGATTAAGTAGTCCTGACATATTATGGAATGGTCGATTTTCTTTTGTGCAATTTAGTACATTTCGGTATGGGATGTGCTGTTTTATTGGTCAGCGCGGCGCTGGTGAGATTAATTCGCGCCGCTCTGACCATTGGCTGGCGCAAGCAAACACTTCTCCTGCGCTGTCGAGTCTGTCGCGCTCGCGCGTCTCGGTCCATTGAGCCACGCAGATTACAAGTCAGCGCAGCGCGAACTCTGTAACACACCGCGCCGTTTCGTCCCCCTTTCGGCGTGTTTGGCTTCCCACACTTATGTGTGTTTGTTTGTCAGAGCCTGCAGTTGCTGTGTGACGCGCGTTCGCGGTGGGCATGTCATGACGAGCTGGACAGGCTCCGAGAAAAGGCCGTTAACATCGATTCCCTATTTGACCATTAAGAATTTCGAATAATGAGCGACTAAATGTAGGCTCATACAGACGTATTTCACAAGCAGCCGCGCCGCAGCCATCATCACCGAGCGCGAACCATTGACAGTGAATGAAACGAAGCGAACGCACAGGCCATAGTGTGACATGCGTAAACCAATGGTGTAAACATAATCATAATAGATGACGCCACGGGTTTTTATTTAAAAGAAAGAACGTAGCCTACGCAATTTATATTCACAATACTTACTATAATAAATGTATATTATTTTATTGCATTTGTATTAGTTGTTTGAAGAGTAAAAAAAAAATCGGTCGGTCTTAATGCAAGATTTTAGAACCGGCAAGTCGGTCGGACTAAAAGGGGAAAAAAATAAATAATTGGGTCGGTCCTAATTTGACAGGGTCGGTCGGGTTACGGCAAACAAGAATATTTTTAAGCATGGCCTCAATAGAACTTGAGGGGTGCATGAAATTCATTGTTATAACCGGAGACGTCATATTGTACTAATATCTGTGTGTTTCTCTGACAGTATGAGCAAGATCATGCAGCATCATGGCTGTAGATCTCACATGAGAGACAGGAACAAACTGACCGGACAGGAGGACAGGTTTGACCTGGTGGTGGACTCAAATGATGCCATCCTTGAGAAAGTGGTACGAGTGTTACTCTAACAACAACTTTAAGATTCAAGCTTCAGGTCTTATTGTGTCTGTCCATAACCCTAACCCGGTCACACCAAGAACAATAATCATAATAATCCTTTGAGAGACACACATGACAACAACACACAGAGGAATCACTTCTCAGAACGTTTTTTTTCCCAGCTGATAAACAATAGAAAATTGACAACCAATCAGAATCCATCCTTTTATGCTTTCCATGCTTTTAGTCTAGACCTGCAAATCTGTCCCGTTAAATCTGTTTGATTTGTGACCTGTGTTCAGGGTATTCTCCTGGACGAGGCCTCTGGTGTGAGTCGCTCGCAGCAGCCGGTGATGCCCACTGGATATCAGCCGCCCAAGATCGTCGTGTCCAGCTGGAATCGCAAGGTTACTTTCTCAGCGCATCATCCTCCTCTTGACCTGGCAACATTTTTGATCAGGTGTCATTACTTGAGAACGTGCAGAGGAGCAGGTTCAGGCATGATGGCGGCTTTTCTTCTCTTTCCAGGGAGGAGAGCGCAGCACCGAGACCTTTCGCCTTCTACATGCTAAGAACATCCAGCGGCCACAACTCAAGTTCAAGGACAAAGTGGATAACAGCAACACTCCTTTTGTCTCTAAGATCTTCATCAAACCCAATGCAGAGAAACCTCTTCCATCATGTGAGTGTTTTAAAGCCTTAACCCTTTAGAACCTGAAGCTAAAATAGGTGTTTTTCACATATTTTGATTTTTTTGACTGTAAACTTCTAAAACAATGTGCCATCTTCATGTGCAAGGTGTCATCTTTTTCAGAAAAAGATTAGCTTTCAACAAATTACAGTTATTGACCATTATTGTGTGTGGTGAGTTTGTAAATAGAATTTAAATAGACACAAATAAAAAAATGAGAATACATTTTCTGATTTTTATTTAGAAAAACCCCAGAAAAATCACGAACGAAATAAACTAACACTTTAAAGTTGAAAAATGAAGTATAGTACATCTATACAAGTCTTTTTTGTGACATTGGGTTGCACAGTTTTAATTTAGGACACTTTTTTTCATACGCACACACATACACATGCACACACCACATGTAAAGATACGTGAAAGAGTAACGGCCATCCGCCTCCCAAGTTTCATTAAATATCATCCCAATCCCCTCTTCTGCTGTCTACCACTTCTTTCGCCATGTATTTGTTAGTTTCTTTTATTATTTTATGCAATCTAAAACACTCTAACCTGCAGTAGGGCTGTCAATCTTCCTCTATAATACTATTCGAATTCCATTCCTTATTTTATTTAATATTCGAATAATATTCGATTATTTAATGCTCAAATTCATCCTATTATTAATATTTACGACATTACTCGGGCTTATGGATCGCCAATGCCACTATAGCATGTGGTTGTTGTTACACGTTCTGTCCACTAGAGGGATATCTAACATTACAATAAACATTTTATTCGTGCTGAATATGGTTGAAGCGCTACCGATGGTTTTCGGCTAATATCTCCGCTAAAACACCACCAAAAATTCGGAAACTTATATCGTTCTTTTCAGTTCGACTAGACGGTTCCAATGAGTTTGGTGCTCGCCGAATCCGTTGAGTTTTCACCGAGATATTTGCGCTTCACGGGCGCTTTTTTACGATGTTAAACATTTACCATTTTTGACAGTATTGTTATGATGATCAACGTGGATAACGTGCACAATTGTGTTACGATTCAAAAACGTTATTGTTCATCAGACGAAACAAAAGCATTTCATTTTCACATGTGTGTAAGTCAAGGTGGCGAGAAAGTCAAGATTCCATATAAAAAAAATTATTGAATGGGAATAGGAGCAGGCTTCACTCAATGATTAAACTTAAACTCTAAGAATGCTGGCCTGATGATTAGAATATATAACGTTAAACAGGAAAGAGGCCGCACTATGCATAAATTGTTTTATTTGCACAAACGCGTTTCGGCGCGTGCCTTCTTGAAACGCGTTTGTGCAAATAAAACAGTTTATGCATAGTGCGGCCTCTTTCCTGTTTATATATATAAAAAAAATTAAATATACATAAAAAAAACAATATTCGAATAGTAACTTCAGCATTTGAATAGTATTGATTTTTTTAATATTCGAATTATATTCGAATTTCGGAATTCGTTCCAACAGCCCTAACCTGCAGCGCTTCGTATCTCTGTTCAAATCCTTCCTTCCCGCTTTGCCAGAAAGCTGCTGTCATTTGCTGACAAAATTACCATAATAAGCCGTATATTGCCGAAAAGCGCATGTTGTCTCCTGTCAGGGGCAATTTGAATGGTTTTGATAGTGCGAACAGTTGAAGAGTTACGGTACAATGAATACAGCTTGCTGATCTGTGTCGGTGACGACACAGCCGGTTCTAAAGGGTTAACAATGATAAATAAATAAAAAAAGTGTATTTCTCTGCCTTTGCAGACCAAATGTAACCAAATGTGTGATTTAGATTTTGCCGACAAACACATCCGCAAGGAGAGACCGGAGGATTTAGATGTTCCTGCTGCACTGGCGGACTTTATCCATCAGCAGAGAACAAAAGAGCACGTGGACGACATGTAAGAGGCGTCTCTGTCATTTAGCCGGTGTAAAGCCGAGTAGTGTGTTTATGTTAGTCATTTTCCATCAGTGTTTAATGCTAGGCTTGTTGTTAATGCTGTGTTCCAGGTTTTCTCACCCCTATCAGTATGAATTGGACCATCTGGTCATGCCAGAGAGTCTGAAGTGTAAACCTGATGCCCAGGTCGATGTCTTATTCATCATCTGTTTTCTTGTCAGGAACTGTGACTATTTTCATTTGGATTTAACATCAATTATTGTGTGTGTGTGTGTGTTTTAGATGTATACACCTATTGCTGAGTCCGCTTGTCAGTTCATCAATACTTTAGATGATCTTGTTGCTATGAATGAGAAGTTGGCCAAGATGACGGAGTTCGCTGTGGACCTGGAGGTAAGAGTGTGTTCAGTTTTTACGATGCTTGCTAACCGTGGGCATCTTTTGGAAGTTTTTAATTCACACCAGTTCTCCGTCTCCAGCATCATTCCTACAGAAGCTTTTTGGGAATCACGTGTTTGATGCAGATATCAACGCGGGAGGAGGACTTCATCATAGACACGCTGGAACTGCGCAGTGAAATGTACATCTTAAACGAGACTTTCACCGACCCCACCATTGTGAAGGTGATGCTTTTCTAGTGGAGTTACCCACTTAGATTTGATGTGTTTCTGCACGGTGTAAATTAATACTGTAGTTCTGTAACTATATCCTAAATTCGGCATGAAACGGAGCTGCGATTATCTTTTCTACCCTATGGTGACGTGCATCTGCATGAAACTGAACGTTCAGCATCTGGTTCGATAAGCAGTTTCATTCATAAAACGTCAACTTGTGCATGTTCAAAGCCATGTAATGTCTTCATGGTGCACGTGACGCTCCTGCAGGTGTTTCACGGTGCTGACTCTGACATTGAGTGGCTACAGAAGGACTTCAGTCTCTATGTGGTCAACATGTTTGACACCCATCACGCTGCACGCTGCCTAAACCTCGGCCGAAACTCCCTTGACCATCTCCTGAAAGTCTACTGCAACGTGACCTCTGATAAACGCTACCAGCTGGCAGACTGGAGGATACGGTAATACAACAGTTCTGCTTATTTTCATCAGCACAGTGCTATTCTCCTTTATGATTGAGCCAAACTCATTAAACTGTGGTAATTCATATGGTGTGTGTTGTGTCTGTAGACCGTTGCCAGATGAGATGTTGAAGTACGCTCAGGCTGACACACACTACCTGCTGTACGTGTACGATCGAGTCCGAGCTGACCTGTATGATATGGGCAACGGGCAGCCTGCCCTCATTCAGCAGGTCTGGGCTAAAAGCAGAGACCTCTCGCTCAAGGTGTGGGCAGACTTCTTCACACCACACACTCCAAATGCACAGAAAGGATGCGTTCAATCACTTTGTGTGTATCAGTTCAACTGAATCAATTCAAAGAACCAGTTCAAAATAGTGATTCGTCATTTGACATTTTTACAACATCACGTCCTTCTCTTTAGAAATACGTGAAGCCTATTTTTACGGAGGACTCGTACATGGAGCTGTACCGCAAGCAGAAGAAGAGCTTCAACACGCAGCAGCTGGCGGCGTTCAGACTGCTGTACGCCTGGAGAGATAAGCTGGCACGACAGGAGGACGAGAGCACTGGGTGACGCCCCCCAACCGCCTCCATGCACGTGTCTGTTGAGCCATTACTAGTTCTTGTGATCCATGAACATGTTGTTTCTCCACAGGTATATCTTACCAAACCACATGATGATGAAGATTGCAGAGGAGCTTCCAAAGTAAGGGCCCTAAAGTTCATTTGTTTTCATTTTCTCTCCATAAGGTGCTTTGTTCTTCAAGGTTTCTTGCTCAAAAAACAGTCATAGTTTGTTAAAGGACTAAAACAATTAAGATATAGTTCTAAAAATCATTGTAAATATAATAGAATAGTTTCATTCGCACCACAACTGTAAAGATAGCGATAATGTACTGTGTAACGCGGAATTTCATGGAATTTGTCAAATTTGATGAAGAAATAAAAGCAGGTCAGTCCTCCTAAATTAAGTCACGAAAGAGACTAGTCTGTGAATATTAAACTGCATAAAGACTATTTCATTATGAATCATGGATGTCCTGCGTGTTTGTGTGAATGAATGGTACTTTCCCCACACAAACACTGAAGCAAGTGTGACGTTCGCAGTGTTTTCAGCCGCTGCCGTCTCACTATAGGGGGACATGAATGCATGAACTGAGTCACTTCATCAGCATTTTACAGTTTCAGTTGAGAAAATCGATCGTCATAACACAAACACACCGAAAAACAAAGGTCTTCACAGCAACCCGTCAAAAAAAAAGTCAGTTTGACTTGAAGAAATTGACAAATATATTACTGATGCACTGTAGAATTGAGCTACATCTCAATGTAATAATACTAACACCAATAATAAATTATTCTTAACTTGATCTTTTTAAGGAATAATTACATTGTTCTTCCATGGTTTCATTTTAACAGTAAAAGTCTGTTGTTTGACAGAATCCAGAAAAATTCTAATGGAATTTGGGAAAAAATAAAACTGATTTCATAGGGCGCTAATATAACTGTATTAACTGGCCCTAATAGCCGTTATATTTATAATTCTTGGTGTGAACTGGCCTTTAATGAGCATTTTCAACCATCTTACTGACCCTTAGAATCAAATGGGCTGTTTTTGCTCTATATCGGCATACATTACCATTCGCTAGTGCCAGTAAAGACAAATAATCCTGAAAAAAGGTAACATGCACAACTGTTTTCAACATCGATAATGTTTCCTGCAGCAAATCATCATATCAGAATGATTTCTGAAGGATCATGTGACACTGAAGACTGGAGTAATGATGCTGAAAATTCAGCTCTGATCACAGGAATAAATTACACTTTAAAATGTATTCACATAGAAAAGTTATTTTAACCGAACAGTGGTGTATAAATGTCCTCTGTTATGATTGGCTAATTTCCCGCAGTGTCATAGTTTTTTTCAAATGGGCCAAATTACTGAAAAGATAAATGGAGTGGACGAGTGTATTTGAAGCCCTTTTTTGTCCATGAAATATCCTTTAAATATTTAATTCAGTTGTGAGCTGTAAGACGGCTGCACTCTCTCACTCAGAGGAAACCGTATAAACGGATGTGTTTTTCCCTACAGGGAGCCTCAGGGCATCATCGCGTGCTGTAACCCCACTCCACCACTAGTGCGCCAGCAGATCAATGAGCTTCATCAGCTGGTCAAAGAAGCTCGAGAGATTCCTTTACTCAAGGTGTGCGCTCATACAAACACCGTTTAGCTGATTGACTATCACTAATGTTATATAGATGTATTAGTCCTATAATTTGCAATATCAATATACAATTGTAGACCATGACTACCAACTAATAGTGTTGTCTCTCTTCAGGCAGAGGTACCGATTAAAAAGAAGAAATCAACGACCCCTAAAAGAAAGGTGTGTGTGTGTGATTGAGAGAGAGTGAAACTCACTGCCATAAGAAGCTGTATTATTGAGTAGCTCTTGCTGTTGTCTTCTAGCCACAGTTTAATTTATTCGGACCCCATGACACCTCCCGCTCGTCTGAAAGTGATTTCCTGGACCTCTCTTCTTTTGGTAGGTCTAGATATTATCGATACCTTAATTTGCCTTTCTATTTAGACGTGAAAATCACTAAATTGTTTTCTCCATGTGTCTTTAGAAACCCCAACCAAAGCAGGAGTGTTGTTTTCAGAAGAGGAGAATGAAAGTGTGGACCGAGAGGAAAAATCCTTGCATGGCCTGATGGCTTCAGCAAAAATCCGACTGTTTGCCGTAAGACATTTGAAATTAAGAAAAGTGTGCTTCGTTTTGCATGTTTTGTGTGCTGACGACAAAGAGGGAGTGTGGTTAAAGGCCCCTATATATTTCATGCGAAATTAAAGAATGAGCCGTTGTGAAGTCATTTCGAACAAAATCAGGCGAAAATGAGGTTCGTTTGGTGTTCCTTTCAGGAGTTTGAAACCGCTTGCCAAAACTAACTTTCTAAAAAAAAGTTCACTGGCTGGTAAAGGCTTTTCGAACTCCCATTGGTCCGTGGCGATTACATAATAGGTAGGTGTGACGTACCTTCATGTTTACATGAACACTCTGGAGAGCTGCTTATAGTAGTAGAAAATGAAGTTGTAATTCTAATTGACAGAAACACTCGCTGTTTTTCATGTGTAATACTATATATAATAGATTGCTTTTAAGCAAGCAGCTTTAAAGTGCTGTATAAATTAACGTGACAAGAGTGCTGAATCGCAGAGCTTGTGCAAACATTTCTTAACTTCTGTTTTCTCACCGCTGTCATTTATGTTTTGTGATTGTGAGGAAAGTGCAGCACATATGTACATATTCATCAGCGTTGGGATGTTTTCTAAAAGTATATCGCTGCAAAGGCATTTCAAACTTCTTTACCTCTAAATGAAGAAAAAGAACTTCGCTGTGAGTATATCGGGGCCTTAACGGGATGCGTCTTAATTTGTTATAGTGTCGAGCAGAAGTTAGAAGTTGATTTTGTCAAAACATGTTGTAGTTGTAATGGTCTTAGTATTGATTTGGGAGTGTTTGTGAGAGTTGATGTTATTTGTCATGTGTTTTTGAGGATGAGGACGAGGAGGCAGCAGCTCCTGCTCATCTGACAGTGGCACAGCAGAAAGCACACAGCATCATGGACTCGTTTGACAACCCCTTCCGAATGGTACAACACTTCAGTCTAGCTGAGGGGTTTTGTCTAAAGTACACTTAAGTATTTTGTGCACTGATATTTCAATGCTTGTTTTCAGTATTTACCATCAAAGGACATTCACATATCAACGAATGCCAAATATGACCCATCTTCAAAGATTTATGAGGTATAGTTTCTCTCACCCCCCCCCCGGTGTTGTAGTGTGTGTGTGTATATATATATATATATATATTAGGGCTGTCAGTTAAACGCGTTATTAACGGGGTCAATTTTTTTATCGTGTGACTAACGGTCTTTTTGGCCTAGCAAACTTTGTAGTTTTTTTCACATGCTTTTGCAACAGGACGCGGCGCTGCGCTATGAAACCCATTCATTTCATGGCTTGCGCCGCACGAGGACGTTTTGTTGCGTCGTCGACCAAAGCGCAAGTGGATTTTGCTAGACCGGAAACAAAACAACAGGCACGCCGCACACACTTGTTTGGGCTTGCGAGCCGGCCAAATAGTTGGTTAACGTTACTTTTTGAGAGGATGACGAGCGCGAGACGCCGAAATGGATGCCAATAAGATTCTGAATGGAAAGTTTACTTTTAAAAAGTTGCCAAATGGTTCCATTGACAAGACTAAAGTGATCTGTGTGTTTTGTCGTTGTGAACTGAGCTATCGTCATCGCAGCGCGTCCAGTCTGAAATACCGCTTGATGATGGCCAAGCACACACACACACACACACACGCGAGCACACACACGCGCGCGCGCGCACACACACGCGCGCACACACACGCGCACACGCACACACACACACACACACACAGCTGATGCGAATTCTCCGCCCCCCTCGTCAATTTCAGGACCTCGTCAGTATTTCTTTCACCCTTTTATTGATGGACAGTGTTACATTGTGGGAGAGATTATTTGCTCCAAGTGATAATGTTAGTGTGAAATTGAACACAGTATATGCCCATGTTGTTTGTTTTCAATAAAAAAACATTTGCACAAAGCAAGCCGATCCACTTTTCCATGTTGATAAGAGCATTAAAATGCGAAAAAATAATTGGACAAAAAGAAATCAAGAGACATTTAGAATAGATACAAATGTGCGATTAATCGAGAGTTAACTATGACATTAATGCGATTAAATATTTGAATCGTTTGACAGCACTAATATATATACATGTGATTTAGTTTGGATTCAGGGAATCACAGATATCCCAAAATGAATCTAGATGCAGTGAAGGAGCTCAGGTTGTATTGACTACTGGCTTATATTGACTATTTTCATTGTTCTGTTTAAAACAGATTCATAACCGGTGGAAATTACAGAGTATTGAGCAGCAGCAGAAGGAGGCTCAGGCCAAGCAGCAAGCTAGAGAACAGGCCAAGAAAGCTCAAGGTACAAACAACACAAGAAGCTCTGTGTAGTCTAAAGCCATTATACATGTGCGTAATTGCTTGTATTTGTCTTTCAGAGGAACGAAAGAAAGTCAAACTGAGCTACCAGGAGTCGCTGAAAAAGGTTCACACTGTCAGGCAGCAAGTAATGGTGAGGACGCTTCGGCTCGCAAATCTAACAAGCGGCTTCTTGTTCCATTTTACACTAACATCTTGTGTTTTTAGGAAGCAAAGCAGGCTGGACAGAAAAGAGAGAGAGCTGCCAGTGATGTTGCTGAAGATAGTCTTAAAGACTCCAAGACTGAAAGTGAGGCATCAGTGGCTGATCCGTCCACAAAACCCACGCAGAAAAAAACCAAACAGAAAATCGTCCAAGAGCCTGAAGTTCCTCAAGACTTCCAGCCTTACGACTACAGCCAGTCGAATTTCAAAATGTTCGATGGTAAGAGATCTGCCTCGTTTCTGTCATTTATTTTTCCTGTTGGTGTGTTGTCTTCATTTGTTTGTATTTTTAAACACACAGGTAAATTGAAAGAGAGTTCACAGTTCGATCCGAACGGACAAGCACGAGGACCCAAGCAGAAGGTTTGGAGTCTACAAGCTTTCACCTCTCCACAAATCTCTTAGCTTTTTGCTTGATCTCTGATCTAATCTTTAACCAATTTTGATTCTCAGAAAAAAAAAGGACAGAAGAAAAACACTGGGGGAGGAAGGAGCATGTCTTACTTACCCGCCAAATCTGACAGGTACTGTAACGCTCTCACGGTAACAGGCATTGCTAGGTTAAAAAGGCATTTACATGTTCTGTTTATTTCTGTTTGCAGAGGGTTTCGCCACAACTGGCCCAAGAGATAGGAGTCTTCAACTGATGAAGTATTATCCCCCCCCTTTTGTTTTTCTTTTTAAAAGCGTCCTACATGTTCTGCAGACTGAATTTGTCCTGACAGTGCTTGTATACTTGTGTAATTTGATCCTTTCTCCTTCATTAAAATGAGATTTTAAAACATTACAGTAAAGAAGTTCTTCTTAGCTGCTTCATGTTTCTTCTGGAGTCTTTGGAATCATTTTTTTATTTTAGTACATGAATTAGGACTGCCAAAAGTTGATATTTAATCAATCAAATAAATAATTGTGGTATAGTTGCTTTTTAGTGGCTGTATGTTAGAGTAGCTGTAAATGTAGTTCTCACATCACTTATGATCCACTGATATGACAACCTCAGTGTCAATTCTTTTATAACAGAAAATATATTTTTTTTGTGCTTGTTTTCTTTAGGGAATGCCCTTGTTAAATGTAATTACTATAACTTCACACACGACTAACTCTGTAGTCAGTGCATGCGGTTAATATTACTCCGTATGTACAATTGCACTGCAACAAGGACATCTTTAATGTGTAACACTTTCTTTATAATAAACTGCTTGGTTTGATATCTCCAACAAAATATTCACATTAACTCTTTTGGCCACTGTGCATATTCATTTAGTGCCAATACACACTTCCTCCTCTAGGTGGCACTGCAATGTAATTGAGCTCTACCTGTCTCGTGTGTTACCATGCCAAACATTCACGATCACATGTAGAGGAACATACAGCATGTCAAGGGCTGTTTCCCTAAAGCTTTGTGAGCCTAAGTTGATCATAGAGGCCATTGGTGGCAATAGTTCTTCTATCTACGATGCTTTTGGGAAACGCAGCCAAGGTTGGTACATAAAATGGAAATCTTTAGGTGAACGCATAAATGCTTCTGTCATCAGTGATGTGAAGGAGAAACTGGTGTGATGTAACAAGAGAAAAAGTCGACACATTTTCCCCTTTAATTTCTAAAGATTGTTCTCATCAGAAGTATTCTGTAACATTTTTAATGAACATATCTGGTATAAATATTCCCCTGAAGACCGCATGCACAAACCTTCACTTCCTGCTGTGCAAGACTGCGGTTCTCTATTGAACAATAGGTGTAAACATCGACAGGAAACGCCTCATTCAAGATGCTTTTGTCAGCTTCTACAAATACAAAGATTATATAAACTCAAAGGAAAAAATCTGTTTATTTAAAAGAGCATAACTGATGTTAAGTCCATTAAAGGGATAGTTCAGCAAGAAATTAAAATGGTCATCATTTACTCCCCTTCGTTCAAAAGCAGTATGACTTTCTTCTTTGTAGTAGTTTTTTTAAAGAATGTTGGTGGCAAAGTTTTGGTTCAATTGTATGGTCAAAAATATCAAGGAAGTCAATGGGAACCAAACCTTTTCTTTAAAATATATTTTTCACAAGAAAGACATGAGGGTGAATGATGACAAAACTGGCATTTTTGGGGTGAACTATCCCTTTAAGGCACTGTATATATTTACAAAGATTCACAACATTTATGCCATAAATAAGTATTTTGTTTGGGATTTTCAACAAAAAGCGATATCACAATATCTTTGATATCACGGATAAAGCTTCTCTGGAGGTCTTGTTATGCATCTCGCCAGTCTATGATTGCGATGATATTTGTAACAAATACGTTACATTCATGTCATGATAACGTTCCAGAAAGTGTGAGAGGCGTGGAAATGGATGCGTACGCCACCCAGCTGTGTTCCCCCTCCCACTCTCCTCTGTCGTTCTTTCCTTCAGTCATGCTCTCTTTCATGTCCGCCAGGAACGAGTGCACACAGGAAACTGTGACAGCTTTGTCTCCAGCATCACCCACTCTGGAAGAACAGCAATGAGTCAGTGCGCTTCATCGGCCGGGAGCTTCATCCGACGCCGCTTTCGCCCTTAAACTACTTTTACGCATCTCTTCAAAGAAATACACGAATGAAAACAGATGCTTAGATGCATTTTTGGGTTATTTTTTCGTGTCTGGGTCAGTTTTCTTTATGTATGGAAGTGTGTCATCCCAGATTCCAGCATCAATAATCCAAAGTCATTCAAACACTCGTCCTCCAAGTCTCACTGCGATCTTCCTCTCATGTTTTCCAGAGCTGACAGCAGTCCTCGCATTCCTCCGTCATGAAGAGGTAAGAGTTGATGGCCTCCTTCAGTCCTTCGCTCACCAGAGACTCCTCCGCACCCTCTTTACTCTGCCCGAAGATCATGGAGCTGTGAAGAGAGCTCGGTTACAAACTGCTCTACTGGGTTTTCATGGCTCATTGTGAAGCCCTTAAAGGGATAGTTCACTTCAAAATGAAAATTCTGTCATCATTTACTCGCCCTCAAGTTGTTTCAAACCTGTATGAGTTTCTTTCTTCTGCTGAACACAAAAGAAGATATTTTGAAGAATGTCAAAATCCAAACAGTTGTTGGAACCCATTGACTTCCATAGTATTTTTCAGTCAAATAGGCCACGTCAACTGTCTGGTTACCGACATTCTTCAAAATATCTTCCTTTGTGTTCAACAGAAGGAAGAAACTCATTCAGGTTTGAAACAACTTGAGGGAATGATGACAGAATTATCATTTTGAAGGGAACTATCCCTTTAAGATGATATTCCTAGTGTGTCATTGAAGGACTGATTATGATGTGTTTGCCTCACCTGTCCACATCTTTCCAGTTTATAGTGGGCCTCTTCATGGCAATCGGAGGTGCGCTGGTTACAACGGGAACATTGTTAGATCCAAGGATAAAGCACGGCTCCCCGAGAGTGCAGCATAACCCGTCCGATACTTCTGAGGGACAGTTCACATTTAGACTCTGGCCACACACTTACACAAAAATGGGTAGCACTTTATTTTACAGTCATGTTCCCCATGTACATACTATGTACTTATTATAGTATGATGGTCTATATGATGTCTATATGATGTCTATAGAATGTCTTCAGGACTATTAGTGTATAACCCAGTCATGTATCAACCATAAACCCAGCAAAGCCACACAGAATAATGAGTTAGGCCGTGTGTCCACCGAAGCGTTCTTAGCTAGCTAAACACGCCTAGCTGTGGGAGCTTGAGAGCCCTTCAGCGGCGCAGTGTTTTTATTTTATTTGACGCGCTTTATGTGCTGATACGAAATATTTGCGGAACTGCTCCTAGTATTTATTTAGCAAATAGTTTGTTTCTGAATATAAAAATGTCGACACAGTGTAACGTACTTCCGGATGAAGAGATGTGCTGCAGGGTTGCTAAAACACACCCAAAAAAGGCTAAAAGTAGCAAAACCCTTACAAAAATTAACCATGGTAGTTTTATAGGAAAAGCATAATAACCATGTTTTCTTGGCAGACTGATTAAAATTTGAATAACCGCAGTTTTACTACAAAAACCATGGTTAAATTATGGTTAGTGTAGCAAAACCATGGTTAATTTGTGGTTCTCATGGTTTAACCACAATAACCGTGTTTTTTTTGTTTGTTTTATTTGTAGTAAAACCATGGTTGGAGGTTTGCTGGTAAAAATTGCGTTCCAGAGGGTAAAATTGAGTTACGGGGTGAGTTACGCTTCAACCTGTGGCAACAGTGTAAAAGTAGCCCAATACCGCAGGAAACCTACAGATTTGTCGTTCGTTATCGTTGTACAAGCAGAACGCGACGGCTGGGCGGTGTTGTGTTTGTCCTGCCCCTCCTCCACTGTGATTGGACAGCTGAGTTAAAAGTGACAGTGATGAGCGCTGAGCAATCTTCAACTCTCGGCGACTGATTAATAAACCTGCAGTGCTTCTATTGAAAACAATCGGACACATACGCTAGCCTTGGGAAAACCCACTTTGGCGCACACACGGCTTCGACGGCTGTATCTATGAGTCTGCGTACCTGAATAGTGTGCGACCAGGTCTGCGAGGCTCCTGAAGGTGAGTCTGGGTGAGATGTAGACCCAGCCGTTCTCGATGCAGCTGATACGGTAGTGTCTGACAGAGGCGCGCTCCTGAGAGCTGCTCTTACGCACTGACAGAGAGTGGTGACCTGGGGAAAACAAACGAACAAAACATGATCAATTCATACAAACTTAGATTTGATGCACTTTATAATACACTATGAGCAAAAAAAAATTGTTCGTTTTATCGTTGGGAAGGTGAAACTGGCCGGGTAGAAATCCAGCTAGCATTAGCGTGTTTGTACCTGGGAAGGTCTCGCTCTCTCTGATGAGGAAGGAGCCGGGCTGATTATGGGGGAGCATCAAAAGTTCCTCTGCTTTCTGTTTGCTGAGACCCAAAAACTGCCACCTACACGAAACACACAGATGAGCGGTGAGTGTGAGGACAAAGTCAACAGAGCAGAGCAGAAGGAAAAAGCAGTAGGTAGATCATTCGTCAAGCGAGTACAGTGCGTCCCCAACATGATGATCGGATCACACTGTATCCAGCTGTGCCCACTCTACACCCCACTCAAAGATAACCCCACTACAGAAACTACAGCTGACATCATCATCACCGCCTCTCCCAGACCACCTGAGCGTCGCTGTGATGATGTCATGAGGCATGCGCTGCATACAGCCACAGAAGGAGATGTTTACTTGTGTGAGTTCGGCTCACCTGTTGTACACTTTGGCGGTGTAGTTGCTGGGGATGTAGCTCTCATTTCCTGTGGCTGACGAACTTACTTTCCACCACTCTCCTTCACTGTAACACACATCATAGCGCCGTCAGACACTCGCACAGAGGATTGAGGCACTCGTCTGTAATGATGCACCGTTGGGCACCAGCACACTTACTCTGACAAAATGTTGAGCCTCTCTCCCACTCTGATGGCACAGTCCCCTGGACCTCTGGACGGATAGTCGTACAGGGACACCACCACGAATCTACCCATGTCTGCACACACACACACACACACACCTTTAGGCCTGTTGCTGTGCTCGTATAATAAGAGCATCTCAAAAAAACACATGATTAAAAATTACCCAAAGTAAAAACCTGTTAGAGTTACCCTGAAATTTATAGTGAGAAATTATATTAATGTTTATTATATTCATATTTATTTATATGCAATCTTTCCTGGTTTTTGGAAGTAAATTACCATACAATTTATTTAAAATATATATAATACTACATTTAAATCAGCATATCATTATACATTTTTTTTTTGTGTGTGCGAGTAAAAATATGAGCTAATAATTAAAATAATTTAACAGCTTTCCCAGAAGTCCCTGCGTGATGCATCACCAGTGTTAGTTTAGTATCATTTTAATACTATTATAGCTTTTGTTAATAATTTGAATTAGACTTCATTTTTTTATATATATATTTTGAGTTTCATTTTAAATTTAGTTTAGCTTTAGCCATTTTTTTTTTTGTCTGTTTAGTTTTTATTAAGTTTTAGTTTTTTTAGTTTTGTTTTAGTTATTTTGGTACTTTAAATGAAAACGAGAAATGTTGCTTTGGCAACTATCTGAAATAAAATAATCAAGTCTTTTACCGTTTTATGAATAAGTAATGAAAATGTTTTTATGGTTTTAGTTTTAGCTAATAATAATAAACCTGTGCATCACATTTGATTATATTTTATTTATATTGCATTGGTTTTTATTTTCATCACTAGTTATGTAGATTAGGGTGTTTTGTGCTACATTTTATATTGTGTTCATGAAATCTATATACAAGTATTGGTTGTGTTTAATGGACAGGACACTTATGATAAACTCTGATTCATCTTGTGGCTCTTTATTTGTCCCCCTGTATTATTATGGCAGTTATCAGTATCATATTTTGGTAGTTCAGGTAGACTAATGTATTAATATTACATCGGTTAATGAAATGTACAGCTGTTATCCTGTAATAATAATAGTCAATTTTTTGCAACCCCAGCCCCAGTTTTTTTACCATAACATTAACAAGACGTTTTCTTTTTTTAAATACACAGTAAAAAGTGATCAGTTAACTTAATAATTTTAAGGTTTCCTCACTTTTTTATTTTTTTTTATTTTTTTATACAAATAAACTATGTAATTGAAAAAATTAAGTTATGTGAACTTAAACTTTATGGGTAATTGAAAAAATTAAGTTATGTGAAATTATTTCCTTAATTTTAAGGCAACTGATCACTTTTTACTGTGTATTCTATCATTGATAACTCTGTGGGAAAAGTTACGCACTGAAAATCCTCAACTTGCGTACGAGTGCTTGTAAAGCGCCACCGAAAGCTGTAGCTGCAACATTTACTACAACGCCACATGTATATCTGCGCTTCTGTTCTACATGTAGTGCTGCCTTCCTGAGATCAGTGGGACCTCATGCACATATGAAGTGTGTATTGCAGTGCTGAACTCACCCATGGAGAGCGGGTCAGCTCTTTCCTCCGTGTCCAAGAGAACAGCATGTGCGCTGGATCCGCGCCGGTCTTTACTGGGCCGACTGCCCATGCTGCTCTGGAGTGTTTAGGTGCACAATGCTGACAGGAACCAAAAGCTAAAGACAGAAGAGCGACATTTTATTTAGCACCGATTGATTCTTGATATTCGTTAAAAAAGCATAAAAAAACTAAAACAACATACACGGATAAACCAACAAATCAGTTTAGCGCGACCATGGCATTCTTAAGTCATGCTTTGAATGTGAGGAGGAAGGATGTCGACAAACCACTTGTGTACTTTGATTAAAAAAACTTTCCATCAGCACTTTCATTATCACACACTTTTTTAACTTGGACAAAAAAAAGGGTTGCCATTCTAAAAATAGATCTGGTGCAATGTTGAGAATATTCGACTTTTCTGTCATGCTCAGTTACATCACAACGGCACGCGATGAATTTATTTATACAATCTATGTGAAACATACAGCGAATCCAACCGATTCAAATGATTCAGTATGCAAATAAGATATCACAGTCTGAGATAAAATCATAAAATAACGTGACTCATTCTCTAAATTATGACTCTTATATTATGATAAAGCGACAGTAAAGTGCTGAGGTACAATTTTCCACTGCCTCCCCACGGTTGGTGTGAAAAATAAATCTATTGAAGGAAATTAATCTGAGGGTCTGTTGATGCTAATTTTTTTTTCCGCTGCTAAAATACCATCAACACACGTACATTTTCCAGTATTTCTACATCCTATAGTCTTATTACATTGTTATTACATTGTAATAACCTTCTAGTTCAATTCCTGCTATTAATAATTGTAATCATGTCACTGATTTCAACACCCTCATAGGGCTACTGTAGCATTAGTGATCTTTGAGGGCTATTCTTCTGTATCATATTGTAATGCAGTGGCACTGGTCCCACATTACCGAGCAGATGGTCACCTGCTACCACAGATGGGTCTCACTAGGTCATCAGGGTCTCCAGGTCCAAATTACAGACCTCACACCCTGGGCACCGAAACAACACATGCGTAACTGATTACATGTGCTACATACCAACACAGCTTTCACACACACACCAACCAACCGACAGACAACTAACGGCAGTGTCATATTCTACATTTCTTGATAATATTTGGTCACAGATTAGAACAGGGTTACTACCTTCCTGTTGAGGCAATACAGACCGTATTTAAGCCGTTTACTATGACTTTAAGAGTTCTCAAGTCTGAACTGGATAGTATCAAACAACTTCAAAATGGCACACAAACAAAGAAGGCATTTCTTTTTTCAAAGAAGGCATTTCTTTGAAACGCCTTCGAAGCAAGGCGTCTGTGCAAGCACACACTTTTCAAGATGATTCTGACTTTGATTCAAGATTGAAGATTATAACTTTAAAGTCTGAGCTTCTTGTGTTTACATTATGAACATAGACATCCATTAGATCAATCACAAAACACATTATTCTCAAATGTTTACCTTTAAAAAACAAAAAAACAAGTGTTAAAATGGCCAGACTTTCTCCCAACCAAAAACTATTTTAATTACTATGAATCTAAATTCACGTAAGGCGCTTTGGATAAACCTGCTAAATGAATGAAAGGTCAAAGCGGTCAGCAAAAACAACCTTAAATAGATTCAAATGTGAGCATAAAGTTTCGTACTCACCTCATGGTCTTCAAGCTAGCTTTGATGACAGTCCTTTGAGCAAACAGACTTCCTCACCTGCGCATGCAACAGGAGATAGTGGAGTTAGGAAGCTAGTTGGAGTGATTTGGGCACAGATCAGAGGCCAGTTGTCTTGTCTTGAGCTCAGTTTCAGGTGAAGTGTACTGTGGGATGCTGCTGTGGTCGTCTCAGCAAACGGAGGAAGGCAGACTCTTATTTACTACACACTTGTAGTTTCCTGTGACGAACAGGTCTAACTGTCACTCCTTTGCTGACGCACAGATGTCTGACAGAGAGAACAGACTAGAAGAAGGTGGTTTGATCATGTTTAAGCTTCACTAACAGCACAGATGTTGTTGGAGAGAAAGCTTTTGAATGTCATGATGTCATGGGCTAATTGATGCAACAATACAGATGCCGATGGAAGCGGCTTACGGGAAGGTTCAGGTATTCTCTGATGATACTTTTTGCACATATTCATTTCAATATTTCCCAAATGCACCAAAACCAATTGCCATGGCAATAACTGCCATGGAAACTAAATGATCAGATTGGCTCCAGATCAGATGCAAAGCAAGTCTTGCTACAAATTACTGCTCATTTACACATTTTAAACCCCAGCTGAAAAAAAAGAGAGAAGATAATGGATGCACAATTTGCATTGGGATTCATAAGGCCAGTGATGGATTTTAGCACGTTAACATATCGCAGTTACATTTAAACTGAACTTTCTATGAATTCTCTGTAATTGCATCATCTGTACTCATGACCTGTTAAACTCAGCATCACTTCTTCTTACTTAATGTCGAGTATTTAATTATGCAGCTGAAGATGTTCCAACCCTAGTTCCCATGACAAATGGAGCAACTTCATTAAAGTCGTAGTGGGGTTGTCATCCTACCTGGTCACAAAAAGTGGAGGAGAAGCAGATCAGAAATCTATACGGTAAATGAAAATGACAAACATAAAGGCCTAATCTCCTCTAGCTGAGTTATCATGCATATCAGATGGAAAGAGTCAGCACAGATCTGTTTTCGACTGATCCTGTCGGCTGTGGTCAAAAGTTGTACTTGAAGTACTTGAAGTGTGTATGCCACAGTTTCTATAAATAGCTTCCATGTGTGTCATCTTTGACCGCATGCAATCAATAAAACCAGTCTTGCTTGTGATCGGAAACTTTCTCAGCTGGCTGAGATGACAGAAAAATAGTTGACTGAGATGGGTTGTGCATAGAAGTGCATATTGAGTGCTATTACTCAGTTCATGAAGTTGTGCTTTGAAGTGATTTGGGTCACATCATACTTTGTTTTTCCCTGAAGTCTAACTATAATGTTAGTCAAGGTTTTATTGCCCCAAAAACATTGTTTTCCCTGACCATTTTCTACACTCTCCCAGCTCCTTCAAGGTACCCCAAAATGTAAATTCTGTAATTCGTTGTACTTACCCTCAGGTTGTTTCAAACTTGTATGACTTTCTTTCTTCTGAAGAACACACAAGAAAATATATTCATGCATTCAATGACAACTACTTTCAAAATACATGAATTCTCTTCTAACTTAAACACAAATCCTGCCAAAGCTCTATGTACCTAAAGGTCAATTTGCATGTAAAAAAAAAAGAAAGGAAAAGAAAAAGACAAAAAAGAGTTGACCTTAACCCTAGATTGTATAAAGGGGGTCAAATTGACCCGGCATGCTGTTAATTTTGAAATATATTATCAATGAAAACATTTATTTATTTGATATTCCATGAATTGTTGTTTCTGACCCTCATGAATATCATTTTCATATTTCTTAGACATAGGATGGGAAAGGCATTAGTTTTGTTACCTGTTGCTATTGTTTTTAGGTTTGCTATAGTGCTCTGAAAGAATAAGCTGAGTTGAGACAAGTATGATCTGTTTTGGTAGTTTTACTGCATTTTGACTGTGAGATTTACTTTACTGTGCCGAGCTAAAAGTTGGCAAGGGGAATTGTGTGAAGAGAAAAAGTGACCCAAGTACTGAGATTTGTGTCTTAGCAACTGCAAAAAAACGGATAAAAGCAATAAATCAAATAAAGGAACATACAAGTTTTATGTACAACTACTTTATTTCAATATTCGTACAAATTGATATACTCAGCAGACAGTCTGCAGTACAACGCCCCCTAAATGCTTGGAGGACAAAGCACAACGCATCAAGGCAGCGGTACAATCAGCGATCAACAACTGACATCCACTGAAAGAATAAAGAACAAAGACCAATAACAACAACACTTCAGAAGCGAACAGAGTAGTCAAAACAATATGAGGTTATTGGGATATCAGTCCACTGTACAGAAGGAATGGAGAATTTTTACCAAAAGCCTACAGGTTACTATAGTGCATTCGGAGGAACCATGCTGTTTTCATACCTCTAGATGCCCTTTACGGTACATATAACTGTTCTTTGAACGAGCTACAGATCTTCTCTTCAGCTATTGGCTTGTTTTGGTGCAGCTGATCTCCAAAGCACAGATTGTGAAAAATATTGTACATGAACTTATGTGCAAACCTAAGCAAAGTCTTCACTATTAAGGGGCTTCTAGTCTAAAACTCAGTACAGTTCTCCATGTAAACAGAATCAGATTGATAACATTCAACCAAAGAGAATTAACCATTGCAGAAAGATCTAAACATAATTAATACTAATATAAATGTCTATTGTACACTTTAAATAGGGGCATGCTAATCAGTAGCTTTTTCGAAACACTACAAATAGCAGACCGTCGAACAAAGCAAACCATAATAGCTGCTGCCATATGGCGACAGAAGTAGAAGCCGTCTAAAAGCAAGAAATCAGTCTACAAAGAGGAAGTGAAGTGGTTCGGTCGTCTCTATAGTAAACACACGGGGCAGGAAGACCTTAGAGAGGGCAAGAGAGGGAACGAAACCTCTCCTGCTACAGACGAGAATACCCTCTGAACATTCAATATACAACAGCCACCAGCTAAATATACACACAAGAAGCATATCCAGTGTGAAAATGAATCTTGGAAGGATGACAAAAATAATAATAATGGAGTAATAAAGTAGTACGCCAATCAAGATCAAGGTAAAAACATCAGCAGGAAGAGTTAGTGTGCGTCCATGCAGTGGAGAAATATTCCAATATGTTTAAATACATGGATTACTAGACACCAAACAGTGCATCCCTTCATTAGACCCGCTTTAGTTTTTTGTATACTTGTTCTCTGGCCACAAGGGAACAAGTAGACAAAGAATGAAAGACAAAGCCAGAGTGGGGGGAAAAAACCCAAATCGGACAGAAAGCGGTCTGAGGTGCAGAAGGGTAACACACGTATGATCCCAGGTGAAACGGTGGCTTGGTTCTGGGTGCTTTAGCAGGACACCTCCATGGTTTGCGGTCGGGTCTGGTTGTCGAGGACTGGGCCGCCAGTGGCGCCCTCCATCTGTGAACTGGTATGAGCGCGGCTGCGCGTGCCGTCCGCTGAACCCATGCTGGAGGCAGAGTGAGTGCGGGATCGGGACAATCGGGTCATACCGGCAGTGGGCACTGAGAGAGAGAAGAGAGAAATCGAACAGAGCTGATAACATGTACAGACTAATGCTGCTGCATGACAGTTGGAGGATCCTGAGTGAAGGCCATGTGCTTCACAGGAAAGTCAGTTTCGCACCCGGATCCAAACATATGCAGATCCAGGAAGGGGAGAATAATGAGTCTCCTCAGAGTGAATGAACTCCCGCACATCTACACACCGCTGACTGCTCAACTAACGCTGGACTGATTGAGATACTATGACAATCTCAAACTATGGTTGATAAGAATAGTAAGCTGAATCCCAATTCTTATACACCACTGATGGAGATTTGCAGCAGGAAAGCTAAATGGGAGCAGGACTGGGTTTCGAATTGGGTATATTTCATTTATTAATGTGCGTTTTGATTAAATACAGTGTGAAATTAACTCTCTGTGGCAGTGTTTCAAACCGATTTAAACCGGGAACTATTAAAAGAGCTCACAAGAGTCGTTTTGTTTTGGGAATTGGGCAACAATAAATGAGTTGTTTATGAATCGGACTACAGTATTTGCATTGTATGTTTGGGCCGTTTACACCTGGTCACTTCATGCATCTGATTTGTTAAAACGGTTCCATTTACACTTATCGCTTTACACATAAATGTGTCTCCGCACAACAAACCTGAATCTGGACCTGAAAAAAATAAATAAATCTGATCTTCAATTTTCGTGCTATATGCAAATTTAACAGAGTTCACATAAAAGCAAGATATGAAAGAGCGGCGATCAGCACTGGTAAGGTCATTGAATCTAAACTTTAAAGTCGGCATGAAATCAAATTTGACAAATCTTTTTATATGTAATATTGCAGTGTTTATTTTAAAGGATTTATCTGTCCACTATTTTTTTTGAATTCATGTACCCTTATAATCTTTAATCAAATACATTACCCTACCCTCCCCCCTCGAAACGACCTCTCTTCTCTTTCGGTCACGTGCCATGGCGAAAGGGTGCGGCCTCTCAGAGAACCTGCTCGTATAAATATGGGCTGATTCCTGCCTGAAAATTTAGCTGCTCGTCCTCTCTCGTCGCCGGGCTCCTCAATAAAAAATCCGGTAACGGTGGGGAGTCCGGTGGAGAGAATCCTCCACAACTGAATGTAAACTGGCATTCAAATCTGCCTCCATTTTGTTTGCAACGCCCAACCTCCAACGATCCAATCAATTCCCGAAGGACGAAATCAAGCCCCGCCCTACATTTATTTCTAATTTCAGAAGCCGTTTCACTCGGATACACGTCACAACAAAGAAAAAAGACAATCTCAACTTCCGTTTCAAGCGGACTTTAATCATTTTATCTACTTTTAATGAAAATGATAGTGTTTTGAGCTTATTTTCAGTTTCATTTGCCGCAGTTTGAGCTACTCATCTGCGGCGATGCGTGTAGCAGTAGCGCTGTCATATCTGGCTAGGCTATAACATCCTATAACACGCTCTCACACATTTATTTTTAACATTTTGGGAGGATTAAAATGTACAAAAGTGGTTTCA